ATCAAAGACCATTGCAAGCCAGGTTTTCGCTCTTGTATAATCGTTCTGGACCTCTTCGTCGGATGAATGTCGCTAGTTGTGCTGCAGGGCTTTCCCTCCCAGGCTACTTTGGAGACGGAGATGAAGACATCCAGCGCGCCTTCCTGGTTCGGGAATTGTCGGGCATCTAGTCGTGGGCAAGTCTATCACCCAAAGGGCCCTCAAATCCAAACATTCGCGTTCCTGTTCTTGCCAGTTCTTGCACATGCCAGGAACAATACCGACGACATCTCGGCCTGCTTCTCAGAGCACTTGCAAACTGGTAGTGGAGGGGAGGGACAAAGAGGTACAGAGAGGTGCAGTGCCCAAACGGAACAGCGGTCGCAAGAACCCCCCCAAACCCCAAATGACGCCGAAGCAAGGTGCGGTTGCCCTGCTGTGCAGGTTGTACGTGGCACATGAGCCCAAGGTCAAAGCCCTGAACCCCAAACCCGGAACCCTAGAGGGCTGAACGCTGAACTTCACCTTTGATGGTTTGAACTGCGTCCAGTCCATTGCTTCCATCGCGGCTGGCCGTGGGGCAGAGATGGTCCAGGGCTAAGGTTGAGTGAAGGTGCTACGAGCTGAGAAGGCTTCAGCAGGTAGTGATCTGAATGGTTTCTGGGCTCCGTGAGCTTGAGTGCTTGAAGAGGTGGAGTGGAGGGCTCGTGTGAGTGTGAGTGTGACAGTGACTGTGGATCTATCTCTCTCTCTCTCTCTCGCTCGCTCTCTCTGTGAGTGTTTGTGTTTGTGTCTGAGCCTTTCGACTTCCTTGGGGGGTGGATTGTACGGGCCGACTTGCGGTGTAGCCTCAGCTAGTTCTGCAACATGCTTTTTCTTTCGGTTGCAAGCCCATCGAGCATTTTGCTTATACAGGCAGGACCAGGTTTGCTGACGGCTTGGACAGGCGCGGAACGGTTTCGCCAAGGGGGCCGAGATGCTCTCGGAGTGCGCAGCTAGGGTTTGAGGGTCTCCGGTGTGGGTCTGGGTTTCAAGTTTAATGCTGAAGGTTTAGGGTTGAGGGTGAGAGCTGGGGTTTAGGAGGTGTTGGGTTTCGGTTTGGTCTGGCTCGCCGCAATTCTCATGTCCGGCCATGTTCATGGCATCATGTCTGCTCCTGCACAGGTACCTTGCAAAAGTAAGGGACTGAGTAAATGCAAGTTCTTTGCGGCTGCAGCAAAAGCGCTGTCGCGTGGGTCGATGCAGATCCTGTGCGCTAGTCATTCTAACCTTAAACGAAAGTGTCTGAGTCGGCCTATCACCTAGTGCACATGGGTGGGCAACCGTGACCACTGACCAGAATAGCACTTGTCAATATTGAGCCTAGAAAGCCGAGCCACCCATGTGATGTCAGTCTCATTTTCCACCACCCGTGCAGAAAGAGCCTCCGCGACATGTGGAGAGGGTCTTCTTTTGCTGTTGGCGTCTATGAAGCCTCTGTCAAATTGGACAGGGGCTACTGAAACTAACATATATATACATAAACACCTCTTCAAGCACTTGCAGAATACTAAGAAATGCATGGGCCATGCCACTGCCAACGAGAGGAGTGCACGTTTTGGCGCAGCCATCGAGTGCTGCGAATGTTGTTTCCATGACGTGCCCCAAAAGTGCTAGCGGAGAGAAGGGAAGAACAAAAGGAATTCTTGGAAACCGCGATCGCTCTTGAACAGCAATGAATTGTGCGAAAGCGCTGGACGGAGTCTCTCTCTCGGCTTGATCTGAAAAGTTCACTTAACCTGTCAACTCCTTACGCAGACCAGTTGGCGGGTCTCGAGCCTTGACCTCCTTTGAATATGAGGCTTGAAAACTCGAGTCGAGTGGCAGTGGTGATCAGGCGCGATGAAACGTGCGCGGAAGCCTGACCAGCGCTTGCGGCGAGCGTTCATGCTGATAATCGAATAACGACGAGCGGAGGCGAGCCGGCATGACATCCCAATTAAGCTACGTTTGCGCTGTTGCCGTTTGCAACTGACTCTTGCTTATTCAGTGAGAGCCTTGCAGAGAGCCTTGCAGTACGAGTCTTGTGCGTGGTTCGTCGCGAGTTCACTTGGGGCCGATTTTTGCCCTAAAAACGAGACAGTCCTGTTGCGAAGGAAGAAGAACGCCACGCTCTCCAGCCGCCCAATTCATCAACGTGGTGCTTTGCTCATCAAGGAGTACGAACGAGCGGGCCCTGTATCATGCGTGCACAACAGGTTCATCTCATTGCGGCCGCTTGCGGGGTGGGACTGCGCATGTCTACCGAAGACCGAAGACCATTGAAGACGATGGGGTTCAGGACTTGACTCCGAAGCATTTGCGAAGCGTGGGCAGCAGGTGAAAACAGCGACGACTCGCGGGCGCCTGTAGGTGAAAGCGCTTGCCGGAGTGCATCTCCTGGAGCAAAGACACATGGGCGTGCATGAGCTCTTGCCGAAGAGACATGAGTCGTCGCATGTATAGCGGCGCCTTCTCGTCGCGGGGCCACAGGGCGTCAGCCCGCCCATGGTGGAAGGTCGGCGTCAGAACATGGCATCAGTAGCCCACGTGGTGTCAGGGCGGCGTGCGTCATCGCTGACGTGGTCGCTGCCGCGTGTTTTCAGGCGACGCGGACCGACGAAGCGTCACTGGACGTTGGCATCGCTAGGTGATGCCCGTGCAAATTCGTTTGGAAGAGCCCTGACGTTATTGTTTTTGTGTTTTGTCTTGAAGGGGACTGTGCGTGCAACCCGTCCTGCATCGGACCCGTTCTGTCAATCGATGTTGGCCTCCCAACCCCCGTCGCCACTGCCAACTCGGCTACCGGCCGCCCCGAAATCTCAAAATACAATCGTTCGTGCCCGTGACCCAGCATGTGAGGATCACATCCTTGCGAATCGCATGGTATCAACACAGCAGCCGGGCCCGGCGGCAATGGAGAAGAATCGGACCCGGACAAAGGAGCGCAGAGCAATAAACCTATATTACTCCGAACAACCCTGCGCGCCAGAATTTGGGCAGGGGATGGACGTTTGCCCGCGCTTTTTTGGAGAAATGCGTGTTTTACTCGAAAAACACACGTTTTCGTAGGTTTTGGCTAGGGGGATTTTCGACATGAAACTTCGAGGTTCCGTGTTGAAGGTTTGGGGAGTACAGGCCAGGTTGGGGAGCATCAGCAAGCACAGCAGAGGAGAGGAAGGTCTGTTTGCTCGAGAAAAACCGAGGCTTTTTAGTTTTCCAATTCAGGAGTGGTTGTTTCATTGGTGTGAACATGTCTCTTTTCCTACATCTTTAGTGGTGGCCCAAATTTCATTTTTTTGGGGTTTCCACGGGGTTCGGGAAGAAAGTTGAAGCAGAGTAGAGGCACGGCAATTTTTCGTCTCGCTGGCACAGAGCAAGAAGTACCGAGCACAAGTGTACAGGACTCCGCTTCCCGTACACCCTAAACCCTAAACCCTTTGCAACCCCAAGACACAGAAATGTAGGAAAAGAGACATGTTCACACAAATGAAACAGCCACTCCTGAAGTGGAAAACTCAAAAAATCTTTGGCTTTTTTCGAGTAAACTAGACCTTCTTCTCCTCTGCTGTGCTTGCTGATGCTCCCCAACCTGGCCTGTACTCCCCAAACCTTCAACACGGAACTTCGAAGTTTCATGTCGAAAATCCCCCTAGCCGAAACCTGCGAAAACGTTGTTTTCGAGTAAAACACGCATTTCCCCAAAAAAGCGCAGGCAAACGCCCAGGCCTGACCCTAGAATTTGCGTTCAATCTGGGGTTGGCACTCCACGTCCAGGGACGCCCTGCAGATTCTCTGGGGATAATCTGGAGTTGGGCATTCCGGATTCTGTGGGGATAGTTTGGGGTTGGGCACTCCAGGGAAACTCTGCGGATAGGGCACTCCAGTGTCTAGGGATTTGCTGGGGATACTCTGCGGTTGGGCCGGCTGTTCACTCCAAGGTTTTCCGTATTCTGGGGTTGTTGGGCACTCCAGGGGCTCTGGGATTCTCTGGGGTTGGGCAACTCTCAGGGACTGGGTAGCGCTGCGTGCTACAGAGTCGCTCGCCTCGTATGCTGAACAACAGCCTATGCCGCTCTTACACCCTATAGTCTACAGCTGGCATCTTTGCCCTGTCTCTTCGCGGTTCTCGGTGTGACCAGTTCTGCTTTAGCGATGGATGTGCAGCACGCCATTCAAACACGCATTGCTTGAATGTTCGGTGCACGCTGCATTACGACGAAGGTGGCGAGCTCTTTCAGCACTCATGCTGCCATACATGCAGCCAGACAGATTGTACAAGGTGCAATTTGTGGGAGCAGTTTGTCAAACGCTGAAATATGACACGATGTACTGCAAATTCAAACACCAAGTTCGTACATAGATGCATGTTGTGTGATGCAGACACATGACACGTGTTGTTTCACTGTCCGGACCGTGACCCACGGTCGTTTCTAGGCATTCCTCTCGTGTTGATAGATACGACCATAAGATAGAAAGTTGTCTACAGGAAATTGACCACCCATCCAAATAAAAGAAAAAATGACAGAAACCAAAAGCACAGATAAAAACTAATGAATCTACTGGACGTCTTAATTATAAAATAGAATGACATTGAAAGACGTCTCCTAAAATAGAATAGGATGAAGAAAGAAGTAAAGCAAGATAATGAATCTTGCATTTTATTTTGTACAGCTTTTAACATAGCATATTGGCATAAGAAATACCAGTCAGGTACTATATGTAAAGGAGTAAGTAATCCACATGCTTCTATGAGAAAGAAGAGAAGCCGAAATGAATTTGAAGAAGATATGGATATCTTTCCATAGAACTCCTTACTAATAATGAAAGGAAAAATGCAATTTTATTATTTGTGGAATTCCTTAAAGGATTATTAGAAGATAGAAAATGTAGCTTTAAAAGGTGGCCAAGTGTTTTTTTGAACTGTCGGATGTACTGTTGAGTGCCTTCTGTCTGGATGCAGTGCGGGCGTAGTGGGAGAGAAGCGTGCAGAACATGACAGAATGATCACAGACATTGCGGTGAAAACGGCGACGAACATACAATGGGCAGCAGCGGGTTCCGCTCGAAATTTCCCTCCCGAGCCACGCGCACCAGAAGATGGCAGAAGCACGCAGGCCGGCTCACAGGGTATTGCAGTCAACCTGTGGACCCCAAGCTTCTCCTCTCCCCATGCCATGTCGGCAGCCGTGATCGGAGAGCTGTTGTCGGCATGCGCCGGTGCCTATTCGGGCTGTGTGGTGGGCCGCTTCGTTGCCGCCAACGTGCAGAGAAAACATGGCCCATGCAGCCGTGACCTGCCGTGGAGCGACGCCCCGGTACTTCACCCCAGGCTTCGGGCCGCTTGCCTCGCGTGGGGTATCGTGGTGTTGGCTTTTGGTGGGCGTATTGGGCGTCTTCTGAGGCACATCCTGCAGGCCCACCAGCTCCTGCTGCGTGTTTTGGCAACTCCTGCTGGTGTGCCTGCTGCGCCAACAGTTGCAACAGTCCCGGGTTGTGATCCACACGCGCCTGCTGAAGTTTTGGGTCCCCCAGTGGTGACGTCCGGTATTGAAGATGCTACGGCTGCGGCTGGAGTGCCTGCGGCCAACTCTCACTGGGCATTGTTGTCGCTGTTGGTTGGGCAACTGGTGGAGCACCAAGGGCGCATGCAGGAGTTTTTGTTTTTGGATATTCGGGACCGCTTCGTTCAGACGGTTGATCCTGTGAACCGTAACCGCAGCCAGTGCTCCTTTGCCGAGTGTCCCCAGTTACATACAATCGGGTGTATCTCAAACATGTGCACTCAGCATTGTGTGAGTCAGGAATGCGCTATTCATCCGTGCTGCACGGTGACGATTGTGCGCAGCGCAGTTGCCAAAACTTGATGTCTCCCCGTTGCGTGGCCCGGTGTTGTGCGAATCATCGTAATTCTGGGCATTGTCGTGTGCATAAAGGCTCACACGGCCCGGGGAGTACATGCGTGCCAGTCATCGGCCCTTGTTTGTAGACGCTCTGGTTGTGCCAATGTCATTTCAGCCTCCCGTGTGACCGGGTACTGTCCAAACCGTTGTGTGTTGTCGCAGTCGTATGGAGCATGTCGAGCGAGACGGTCCGTGGCAGCCGGCTGTGTCCTCCACACCACGGGCTTGCAGGCATGTGAGTTGTACCGCCTTTGTTTTACTACATGTCGTACAGGTTTTGCACTGCTCATTGCACCTGTGGGGTCACCAGTTCACGTTGTTCTTGTTGTGCACGCCTCTCTCGTGATCCCCCGCCCCCTGCTGCGGGCACCCGCGTGCCCGTGCCAGATCGCATGTGTCGAAAAATGCAGTGCCGCGGTCTTGTGGACCAACATTGTCAGAGGCGGTCGTCCAGCAACTGAGGCCACGACGGCGCATCAAACCCCGCTTGTCGCAAACAAGATTCCGCGTGCAGTGCCGCAGGTACACTTGATGGTACACTTGGGGTGTGGCAGCTCGGCCGGCCGTTCGATGGAGCAGGAGTTTCAGGTGTTCCGCGCGCATCCCCGACAAACCCGCTCCTCCCCTTTTCGCTTCGCGCAGCGCGCTCGCTACTGCTCCGCAGCTAGTTGGACCGGCTGGTCGGGCTCGTAGTCCAGGAGTTCGGCCGGCAGCGGGGAGCGAGGTTGCGGAGGGCGCTTGGCAGGGTCCGTGAGCGCGCGCCATGTTGCCTCCGTGCCGGGCTCACCTTGGCGCATGCCAGGTCGCGTTTGCGGGCAGCGGCCTCATCGGGAGGGGGTTGCTGCCTTTGAGCTGGCATTGGCCGAGGCCGCCTGGCGGCCTGCAGCAGTCGAACCCACTCGCGAAGGTGCGAATCGGGGAGGTATCGCGTGCCCGCCAAGCGTTGATGGCGCCAGCCCTCGCGCCAGGCACTGAGGCGACCTACGCCGGCCTTACAGACCCGGCACGCCGGCCGGCCCGTCCTCGTTCTGTGATCCCCGAAGACGTCCTATCACACGTGCCAACAGAGCCCGCCACCCTTGCGCCCAAAGAGGTGGCGGCTGCTCTTCGTGAAGCGCGTCGTGGAGGGGCGCCGGGCTTGTCGGGAATGCGGGCAAAGCATCTGAAACTGCTGCTGCAAGACATCCCGGCACAGGAACTTTTGGCCTACGCTGCAACCCTCTTGGCGCGAGCGCGGTGGCAATGGCGCGGCTTACGGCGCTTGCCAAGCCGGATGGCGGAGTACGGGGGATAGCGACCGCGGACACCTTTCGCCGCTTCGTTGCCCGCACATTGGCCAAGGCCTGGGGAGCCACGTTCGACCAAGCTACACGTCCTTTCCAATACGCACTTCAGTCGCGGGCGGGGACAGATGCTGTGGTCGCCACGGTCCGGGCTGCGCTGGACGGGCGACCTGATGCCGTGGTAGTGTCGCTCGATGGGCGCAGCGCCTACGACAGCATTTCGCGAGCAGCCTTCCTCAGCAAGCTGCGGGAGGGTGCTCCGGAGTTGCTGCCCTTCGTGCGCATGTTTTATGGCCAGCCCTCGGCCTACAGCTGGTGGGATGCAGCGGGGAACAGGCGGGATATCCCACAGGGCGAGGGTTGCGAACAAGGGGACCCATGGGCCCGCGCACTTTTCGCCCTAGGCCAGCACAACGCCCTCGCCAGAGCCGCGGGCGGTTTGCACCCGTCCGACAACCTTCTGGCCTTTTTGGACGACGTGGCTACGCGCGCGTGGCCCGCATTGGACCAGGTGGCGGGGACCGTGGAAGCGGATTGCGGGATCGCCTAACCTTGGTAAAACACGGGCGCTCGGGGCGGCAGAGGCGGGCCCTTCACCAGGCCTAGAACAGCTAGGCGTGGACGTGTGGCGGGGAAACCGGCCCACGCATGAGCGTGGCATGGTCGTGTTGGGTTCTCCCGTCGGCCATCCCGACTTCGTGCAAGCGTGGGCTGTCGCGAGAATGGCCGAGGAACGGGAGTTCCTGCAACACTTGCCCCAGCTCCTCGATTTACAGTGTGCCTGGCTGCTGTTCGCCTTATGCGCCTCCCCGCGTGCGAACCACGCCTTGCGCACAATCCCCCCGCCGGATGTGGCCGCCGACGCCGCAGCGCACGACGAAGCCGTATGGGGCACTCTCCCAGAATGCCTGGGAGGTGAAGGGGGCGAGGACGCAGACGAGCAGTTCGCGCGCGACTTGGCCTGCCTACCAGCGTCCCTCGGTGGCCTAGGCCTCGCGTGAGCAGCGCGCGTGGCCCCCGCAGCGTACTGGGCGGCGTGGGCGGATGCTCTCCCGGTGATGGCGGCCCGTCTTCCGGCTTTCGCGGCGGCCTGCGTCGCCGCGCTCCAACAAGGGGGCGCGGGCGCCGCGTGTTTGAGCCACGCTGCGAGCGCCCGCGCGCTGCTGTTGACCGAGGGCTGGGACGCGTGATGACGCGTGCCCCGGCTGGACCGCAGTTGCCGGGGGCCTGCGGCCGGATACAGGACTTGGCGAATGGCCACACGGCTGGCAGCTTCATGCGTCGCGCACTCGCAACTCTTACTACCGCGACCGCGTGATGCTGCCGTCGTTGATGCCGGACCGCCGAGCCCTGCTTCGCAAGCGTGGACGCCGTACGCGACATAACGCGACCACGCCTTAGCGTGCCCTCGCACGGGGCTTTTAGCCGGCGGGCCAAGGTGGTGGAAAGGGCGTGGGTGCGGGTCGCAAGGGGCGGCACGCAGAGGCTGGTCGTGCTCGGGGCCGAAGTGGGAGGCCGCTAGAATGGAGGCGCACTGCGGTTCGTCAAAGATCTGATCCGTTTGCGCGCGTGCCGCGCGCCCCCCACAGTTGCGTGCTGTCGGTCGCTGTGACCACTGCCCTTGGCCAGGCGCCCTGCATCTCGGCAGGCTCGGACTTCACGCCGCTGCCGCTGGACCGAATCCTGGAGCCGGGCGCAACAGCGGCAAACAGCGGCAACTAGCCGCCTGCCCATGCAGCCTTGAGACCACGAGTCGCACTCGTGAACAGCGTGCAGTTTACGACCGTGTGTGCTAGCTCGATCCCTAGAAATAGGTTAAAAACATCGAAGGTGTTTTTAGAGAAATCTGTTGGGGCTAAAGCCCTCCGAAGGGGTTCTGAGAGATGGGCTAAGAAGCCAACAGAAAGAAGGCTCAGGATTGCAGCTGAGCTACCTTTGAAATTGTGGGGTCGCCCCGAGGTGCGTAGGCGCCGAAAGGGCTAAGCAGAGTTCACTTGTTGATACGTTGTGGCCGTTTTGGCTAAAGAGACCCCAAAAGATTTGGGGGGGCAATTTCAAAGTGCCCACCCAACCCACCCTGGGGGGGACCCGACCCACCGAAGGTGGATCGGCCTCCGAGCTAAGATGTGGGATCAGTCGGTAGCACGAGGTGTCCAAGGCCTAGAGGGAGAGCTAGTGCACGGCGTCGAAATTGTTGGTTTGATATGGTTGATTCACGTCGCATTCCTTGATGTTTGTGGTTGATCATGTACATATTGTCTCACTTTCAGTTCTTTCCGATCGTGACACACGATCGTTCAAGGACACGTATTTCTCTCTCTCTCTCTCTCTCTCTCTCTCTCTCCACAGCGCCGCGCAACGTCTGGCGCAGGTGGATTTGAGCCAAAATGGCTTGAGCCAAGATGGCTTGAGCCAAAATGGCTTTCCAAACCCTCGTACAGGTCTTCGCCTGGTTGAAAAGAGGAGTGTGCGGCCCACAACGCCTGGTGGAAGGGATGCAAACAGGCCGTCAAACATGCACCTGCGCGAAATGTGGTTATACGCCCCGACTCCATCCACACTGGCAACTGTTGCGGATGTGTTACTGTCGGCGGCCACGCGGAGTATCGCGGAGTGCTCGCGCAAGCGCCTCAGCACCCGGCCGTGTGGAAAGGGCATACTGGTAGGGCGCGCATGCCTCCTGCAGGGCCGTGGAAAACTGCTGGGCCAACGTCCATGACACCAAGCGGCGGAAGACGTGGCCCATGACCCGGGTGCGAATGCCCCCGCTGGGCTTGAGCGCCACCATGCGCCCGAAGCCAGGTGGGCCCGCCAGGTCACTCTGCGCCGCCAGGCCGAGCCTGTCGGAAAGCGCTGGCAACTGCGGCGGCCTCAACCGCGAGCGCTTGGACCCAAACGCCTGCAGAAAGGCAGATTGGGCAACCGTGGGGAAGTAACAGCTTTTTTGTCGCCTTCGCCTAAAGTGATGCTTGTTCCGATATCAGTTGATGTCGTCATGACATATCCTTCCATGACATGTTTCAACGAATGGGTGCAGTTTATGTCCTATGCTGAGATGTATACTGCGTGTAGCGATCTGCTTCGGCCAAGAGCGACGGCTCTGCTTTGCAAATCTATGCGACACATTTGCCCTCGCAGAGCAACCGCGCGACCACACTTTTTGCAAAAAACACTCACCCTTTTGGCGCCGCATCCGAAGCGCAGAGTGCACAGTACACACTTCCTTCACCCCGTGAGCCCGAGCCCGAAACATATGTTGCAGTCAATTCAGTAACCCTAAACAGTCCCGAAGAATACCCATCCGACCCGATCTGACCACATGGCAACGTCAGCTCAGGAAGCAAGGCAGCCGTGAACCGGGCAAAAAGATCAGCCCACAAAACCCCGGTAGAAAAGTAAGCACCAGCGGGCGAAAGCACAGACGATGACGCCGCGCCTGAGCTGCACGAGGTCCTGGCTGATGCGCGTGCCGCCGCGGAGGTGACGGCTCCGGGAGGACATGCAGCGGAAGAAGGCGTGCGGAAAAAAAACCACGAGCGACCACCACTCGGCCTGCGGAGCTCGAGGAAAACAGTGCGAGGGAAAACAAAGGAAAACAGTGCGAGGGAAAGCAAAAGGAATTGTGAAGAACCTTGCGCAGTTTTTCCGGGAAACATACATCCTGATGCTTCGCCGCATGGCGAAAATTCTTTTGTTTTTCTTTAATGCTCCTTTTTCCCGTTTGGGGGGGCGCCTCAGGGCGGCGAGCGCGGCCATGACCGTCCAGCGGCGCATCAAGGCGCGGCCCACGCTTCCGGCACTCCACGGTGCCCGTGCCCGCCAAACCGCCCTCCGACCTCGAGCCCGAAGACCGCGACGCAGCACTGCCCGCGCCCGTGAGGTTGCAGCTCGGGGTGGGTGCGGCGTTTGCGCTCCTCTGCGTGTTGCAGTGCAAGCCCCGGTGTCCTATCGCAGCCTCGGCGCACCTGCCCGTTGCGCTTGACTTTCTCAAACGCCTATACTGGCCGGAAGCCCGATAACCTACGGAAGGCTCACCGCAGAGGGAACCGATTGGGCGCCGGGTGCTCAGCGAGGTCGAGCACCGTCGCCAGAGGCTGTGTGTCAACCTGCCCTGGGTCGTCCACTCGCCGAGCGCGGCGCTGCACAGGGCGCGCTGCGCAGCAATAGGCAACGCACTCCACCACCGGCGCGCCCAGCCTTGGCCGGCAGCCGTTCGAAGGACGGCCGGCGCGCGCGCAGTCGGATGAACTGCTTGAGCAGATGTTGGGACTCATCGTTCCAGCGCCCTCCGACTTCGGCAGCCAACACGCACAGGCGCAGTGGCCCCCCGAAAGTTCAGGGCCTGCAATTGTTTTAGTCCAGGGGAAGCTGGGTGCGTGTTTTTTTCGGCTCTGTTGCACCGACTGGTGCGTGGTCATGTGTAGTAATGCTCCGCGGGGCGCGTGTTCTACTGTATATCCAAGTTGTTTGAAAACTGCTCGTGCCAGCCTTAGCATAGCTTTGCATTCCAAGCTTCCTGCAAAAAGAAACGGCCTCAGCTTTCCGTCAGGTGGGGCACGTATAGTGCTCGTTCCATACAGATAGATGACGAGGGTGATGACAGGCGGGCCAGGAATGAAGACAGTAGCGGGGAAGGGGCCGAAACCGTTGAACTGCTGGAATTCATCGCAAATGTGTGCAAGTCTTGAGAAATTGGTAGTTAACTTAGTTCACATTCCGCGATTTGGGTTTGGAGGCGTGCTTTTCCTACTGTTCCACGCGGCCGACGTGACGGCTTACCGCCAGCAGCTGCCGAGCGTGGTCACGCCGTCAGAGCTGTGAGCCCAGGAAGGCTGCGTATTGCCGATGATGCACGTCGTGTATATATGTATATAGAATTATATAGAAAAGTGTATATGCATGTATATTAACGTGTGTGTGGAGTTTGGGATTGAATGGTCAAGTGTTTTTCGGGATTGCATATACAAATAAATAAACAAAAAATTAAATAAATATACACATATATATATACATACACACACTTATGTGCGTGTATTTTCGTATGTATATGTGAATCAACAAATACAGGCACATGTAAAGCAATATACATGTAAAAATACAAATGGTATATGTATAATCATAAAAAAGAATCTTGGTGTACATTGATTGAAAGCACAAAAAGAAGGAATGTTGTTTTGGATTGCCGTATCTTACCCTAAGACGTGTGCTATTGATATAGAATATAGACATAGACATAGATATAGACATAGTTTCAGATATAAATACAGATATAGATATGAATATAGACATAAATATAGACATTTTGCTACATACAATATTACACCTTATACCATTTATTTTGCTTTATATATTAAAAAACAAATCGTACCTATATAGATAAAATAACGTTTATTGTATTTTATTGCATATTGCATATTGCATATTGCATATTGCATATTGCATATGGCATATTGCATATTGCATATTGCATATTGCATATTGCATATTGCATATTGCATATTGCTTATTAAGTAAGTAAGTAAGTAAGTCCTGCATGCCCGTAGGCGGCCTCTTGGAGGAGCAGGCAAAGAACGCAACTTTACATGGTGTCCAACTGCATTTGAGCATGACCTCACGTCAATGTTAGAATCATTCTAAACATCGACGGCTTTTGACGAATCATCTTTGTTCAATTTTCTCAATGCTGTACAAAATCAATGAATGCACCCCGCGCGATGTCAAAGAAATTTGTCACGTACTCAGTCCAACAGGTATTTCCATTGAAACGCGCAAAAGCTTCAAGCTGCGTGTACCAACAATCGCGAGGTCTACCAGGAACGCGAACTCCATTTGGCGACCAACTCATCGCACGCTTCACCCACCTGTTTGCTGGCAACTTTGCCACATGATGTGCGAAATTCCAATAGCCATGGATGCATTTGTAAGACCAGCTCTGCAAGTTTAACGTTTGAGTCATCTGCTGGACATGTTGATTCCATTCGTGCAGTACCTCATGCCAGGGTAACGACCAATCAAGTCCCGAAGGCGGTCCAACCATGATTCTAAGCAATCGTCGCCATTCTGAATCCAGTTTGCGAAGATGATGCTGCCGTACTTTGCGATGCCCGGCACCAAAACATGCAACCGGTGTCGCTACAGCATATTGCATATTGGATATTGTATATTGTATATTGTATATTGTATATTGTATATTGTATATTGTATATTGTATATTGTATATTGTATATTGTATATATGGTATATTGTATATATATTGTATATTGTATATATATATATTGTATATAAATGGTATATTGTATATATATATATGTCTGTCTATATGGTATATTGTATATGGTATATTGTATATTGTGTATATTGTGTATATTGTGTATATTGTGTATATTGTGTATATTGTGTATATTGTGTATATTGTGTATATTGTGTATATTGTGTATATTGTGTATATTGTGTATATTGTGTATATTGTGTATATTGTGTATATTGTGTATATTGTGTACATTGTGTACATTGTGTATATTGTGTACATTGTGTATATTGTGTACATTGTGTATATTGTGTATATGGTGTATATTGTGTATATTGTGTATATTGTGTATATTGTGTATATTGTGTATATTGTGTATATTGTGTATATTGTATATATTGTATATATTGTATATATTGTATATATTGTATGTATTGTATGTATTGTATGTATTGTATGTATTGTATATCGTAATATTTGTTATATTATTGTATTATTTGTATGTATTGTACTGTAGTTGTAGGTATTGTATGTAAATTATATATATTGTATATTGTACATTGTTATATGTATATTGCATATTGCATTTTATTGTATATTGTATATTGTATATTGTATGTATTGTATATTGTATATTGGATGCTGCATTAAGATATAGATATAGACATAAAATGGAAATAGATACAGGTATAGATATTGCTATATTATAGTTTATTCAATTTTATATTATCTATTTGCTTGCGTTATAATTAATAAGCATTATATCATTATATGTATATATGAAATAATGTTTATTGTGCTTCTCTGTTTTTGTTATGTATTCTACATTGTGTATTGTATATTGTATGCTGTGTATTGTATACTGTATATTGTATATTGTATATTGTATATTGTATATTGTATATTGTATATTGTATATTGTATATTGTATATTGTACATTGTATATTGTATATTGTATATTGTATATTGCATATTGTATATTGTACATATATTGTATATGGTATGTTGTATATTGTATATTGTATATTGTATATTGTATATTGTATATTGTATATTGTATATTGTGTATTGTATATTGTATATTGTGTATTGTATATTGTATATTGTATATCTGTATATTGTGCATTGTATATTGTGTATTGTATATTGTATACTATACATTACGTATATATATATATGCTCGCCGAAGCCCCACACCGCTTCGACCTAGACCCGACAGTGCCAGAAAACAAAAGGCGCGACCACAAAAATAATGCCGTACATCTAATGCGGAATATATAATGATTTTGCGCATGTAGGGGGCGATCTTTTAGATGCACGCGTCATCACACGTCACGTCTTTTTCCTGTTTGACGGATGGATGTGTCTAATGCTCATCTGTCCAGCCGATGTCAATGTTTGCAACAACGATGGAGGCGGAGATAGCCGGAGTTGTGGCCCACCAGTGTCGTACCACCACACACCGCGACCACCACATACCTCATACTACCACCAGCGTGGGAGAAGTGAGCCAAGGCCCGAAGCTCCTTCAGAGTCTCGGTACATCAGCGGGCCAGTGGCTTAAAGCTCAAGGTTCCTGCAGGCTGGTTGTTTGGAAGCTATGCGGGCCAGGCCTTGCGATGCAGAAGATTGGCTTCAAGCTGTCGAGCCAGCTCCGCCGGAGCCTTGGACAGCTTTGACATATCAAGGGGCATGAGCATATCTCGAACCCATCCGCACTGGTGAAAGGTCGAGCTTCTTCGCAAACGTGGCAGCCGCAGTCGTGTTTGAAGGGCATGTCTTGCGGCTTGCTGCGCGTCTGATGTGACCACACGAGCCCCATGGCATGTTGTTTTTCACGTTGTCTGGCCCGAGCCGGTAGCATGAGAGAGCATGCGTTACGCGTGCACAAAAGCCGAACCAGGAGCAGGACTCGGCAGCTGCAAGTGTTGTCCAAAATTCAGATCACACGCCAGGCAAAGGAAAATTGCCGCGCGCAGCTCATGTTGGGAGTTTGCACAAAGGATTTGTATTTATGTTAGCTTTTTTCGCCTACAAGCGGCAACGGCCCAGTGCGCATAGAGGGCATGAGGGGGGGAAGATGTTGGAGAGCAACACGTCCAAGTAGTCCACTAAGGCGAGCTTTGCTTGTCAAGTGTCGAGGATGGGACCAGGATTTGAATCTTTTCGCACTCGGTGATACAGACGTAAGGGTGGGGAGAGGGATTGTGGGCGCGGCACATCTGGAAGCCTTGTATGGTTGGTTGTTGGGATTCAGAACCCTTACAGTGCCTGCAGGCTTCAAGTTTGGCAATACAGGTCAAGGCCGGACCACTGTTTGTACTATAATGCTGCCAGGAGCTCATGCCAGCCGTGGACGATGGCTTGGCTCCCGGATGCTTCGAAGATGGGGCTGAGCTTGCCAGGAAAAGGCTTTGCAAAACACTTCCATTCGTCAAAGCAATTTGTGATTTTTCTTTTTGCTCGAATCATATCTCACCTCTGAGACGTCGACGGTCCCCTCTTTCAATTGGCACACAGGACTGCGATCCCTGAAACAGCAACCACGGTCCTTCTGGGCGAATGTACGCATGGCACCGAAGAGTTTTACCAGATTCGGGCTGAGAGCCGTGGCAAATGCACGGAGTTCGTAGGACATTTTTGGGCCAGGTCGGGGCCAGGTTTTGTGCAACGTAAGAGCACCAGGTCACCAAGATGCTTTGGTTTTGAACTGACCGATGCGACCGACGCCCGTAGGGTTGTTATGTTCACCAAGGATTACAAGGTATTTGATGCAGACCAGGGGCTTCAATATCATCCTCTGCGAAAGTGATTGGACATTCATGTGGCACGTGAACCAATACGTGCATCGCAAGAAGAGCAACATGTTTCCAGACACCGCACGCTTCCCAGACGCTTGGTCGGACATGTCCTGGAACAGGCTGGCAGTTCAAATCATGACAGCACCTGCAAGTGAGTTTCTGTTTTGCCGGCCGATGTCTGACAATAGTGGACTAGGACTGGATGTGGAAGAATCGGCCGTTTTATGAGCTGGTCGAGTGGATGCGAAAGCGCGCGTCTTCGGATGGTCCCTATGTCTTTGGCATGGACTGCTACTGCAAAGAAGAGGCCAAAGAGGAGGCCTTGAATTTCTTCGATTTTTATGACCGGGAGAACCTTGGCAAGGCACGTGCTCGTAGCAAAGTTGAATCGACATTTTCGCTGTTCCCCCAAGACAATACGCAAGCCAGTCGTGCAGGAGTTTCGACGCACTTTGTACCCGATGGAGCAGCCAGACAGGTCCCTGCCTTGTGGGATGCAGGGAGCAGGTCAGGTAGTGCTCAGACCACTTCAGCTGCAATAATCTGCCATGGTGATTCATGCTGAGTGGCACTGCCACACGCTAGGCGGGGACATTTGAGGAAGACCTGCAAAATCCTGCAAACGAGGCAATCGAGCTAGGTACCACACACTCAGCTCTAATCAATGTCCAGGTTTCCAGTAAGTTGGCAAGTTGGACACTTGTAGGCCATGTCGGACTCCGTGCCATGAGTTTGGGGCTTGCGCCTCGGCCGTGGGCGACGGCCTGCCCCCCAACAAGGCCCGGACAGTCACTGCGTGGATTCGGTGGGAACCTTCCCCCAGCTCGGCGCGTCAGCCGCCGGGTGCAGCCAGAGGACTCAGACCAAGATGCGAAAGTGACGGAGGTTGCGGATCTGGCAGAGCCAGTCGTGAAGCCTGAAGAGCCATGGACACTGCAGCAGCTCATTTCGATCGTGAGTGGTTTCATTGGGTCTATTTTATCGCTCAATGCGTATTCGCAGTTGCGAGAGGCCACCAAACAGCGCGAGGCCATCGCCCGCGTGAGCGCAACACAGCGAGCTCAGTCAAACAATCTAGGCAGCTACAACAGGAATGCCCGAATCGTCCAGCAGCTGGGTGGGTCGTTGCTGGATGCCGAGGCAGAGTCTCCATTGTTTTCGCTTGGGCCCGTGCCAGCCTGCACAACGGCTTCCAACCTCAAGAGCCCTGATCGCCACTTCACGATCATCACCACTGCAGCGCTTCCTTGGCGCACCGGCACTGCGGTGAACCCGCTGTTGCGGGCACTGTACCTCGCCAAGCGAGGACGGCCCGTAGTCCTTTTCCTCCCCTTTCTGGAGGGGGATCAGAGCTACGTGTTTGCCAAAGACGTCCGCTTCCAGACGCCTGAGGAGCAGGAGGTGGTGGTCCGGCAATGGTGTCAGGAGCAGGCCAAGGTGGATCTCAAGAAGCTGGATCTGACATTCCGGTGGTACCCTGCCAAGTACGTGGTGTCCATGGGAAGCATTTTTCCCACGGGCGACTGCACGAAGAGCATGGTAGACACCGACCCGAAGGATGTGTTAATTCTGGAGGAGCCGGAGCACCTGTGTTGGTTTCACTACGGTCAGCGCTGGCCGAACTTGTTCAAACACGTCATTGGAATTGTCCACACCAATTATTCTGACTACATGAACATCATCAACTCTTCTAGCAGTTGGATGGCTGGGCGCATGCCCGTGGAGTTGAAGGAGGCCTCTGTGTTTGCGGCCTCAACGGTCGTTTGCAGTGCCTATTGCGACGTGAACATCAAGCTGTCCGACACCATCATGCCCTTGCCCAACGAAGTCACGTGCAACGTGCACGGTGTCAGGTCAGACTTTTTGCACATCGGAGACAGGACCGAAGTGTTGCCCCACTGTTGCCCCAGAAGCCTTGTTCCCACAGCCATCCAACACCATCACTAACTTGAGAGGAGACACAGGCAGAGAGAAGGGGCAGCTCGCGTTTACTACCTGGGAAAGGCCCATTGGTTTCCTGTTGTCATGACCATGCATAAGGTAGAACCACTCTTTAAGAGTTTGGTGGCCAGGCACTGTACCCAAAAGGATGGCGAGAGCTTATCGACCTCCTTGTGGCAGCTGGACCTGACCTTGCCGGCATCAAAGTGGACGCTGGGAAGTTCTTGAAGCATTTTGCACTTTGTGTTCAGGGAACCAACATAAGGAATCATTCTTTAAACAGCTTCCCAACAGCAAAGCAGGATGGCTATGGCTCAGGCTGGGCGCAGGGTTAGCGGCTGGGTTCCTTTGTACTCCTTTGTTGTGGGATTCGTTGAAGGTCCGGGAATTCGAGGGGAGATGTGGGGAGAAACGTTCGGCACAGAAGAAAACGAGGAGAGGTGCACAGCTGCCGTATGCGGTTCAGTGTGATCGATGCAGTTGTAAGCATCGCCACCATGTCAGGGCTTCTAGAGGTTCTTGAAGGGCAAATGAGGACCAAGCGACACTTGCCGTTCTTGCAACGGCTAGCTCCCGAAGCCTGCAGGCATCTGAAATCACAAGCGTCTGTCGGCACCAAAGCCTAATCCCTAAACATCCCTAAGCCCTAAAAAAACAAACGCCACCCCATACCACCCGTACCTCGCTCTTGGACCCGAGCCAGGCCCCGACTTCGAGAGCATCGTTGAAGAAGCTTCATCCTTGTCTGAAAATGGAGCAGTGCTGAACATGCACCCCGGCACGGACCACGCCGACAAGATGATTCATGGGTATCTGGGCTGTTCATTGCAGCTGGCACTTTGTCCGAGCAATTAGCGAGAGGCTAAGCCGGCTAAGCCGCCGAAGCCGAATCGCTCAGCCAAGGTATGGTGTCCTCGTCAACCCCTCTACAACCGACGTGTTGTGCACGGTGAGCGTGGAAGCCTTGGCCATGGGTAAGCACCTCGTGCTGGCTCGCCACGTCTCCAACAGCTTCTTCGAGCAGTTCCAGGTTCGTCGGGCTTAGAATCTTTTTGGGACTAAAGCCTCAACTCCAAACCCACCCAGACCCTCGATCCTGAGCGTCTGGGTGCCAGGACCGATGCCATTTCTTCGAGATTGGTGACGCCGACAGCTTTGTGAAAGCCTTCAAAGCTGCTTTAGCTGCAGGCGCTTTGGACGAACAAAACCCTTACTCGCATATCGCAGCCATACTCCAACATGACAGTAGGTCGCGTGCGATGCATCTCAACGCCAAGTCGAGCAGCAAAGCCTTCACCCAAGGCAGCAAAGGTAGGATGGCAGACGTGGCAAAAAAAACCTTACATTCCAGCTTCCGATGCGAAGATGAGCAGGGTGCCCACCGGAGACCGGTGGAGCCGAAGCTATTGAAGTTGGCAACAAGCGGACGTGGTCAATGCCGGCTTCTCTCCCCTTGGCTCTCTTCATGCAGTGAAAGATGGGGGGTTTGTTGGTGTGCCTTAAGCGTGGGCTGTGGGGTATGAAGAGCCGGGGGTGACCCCAAGCTTTGGCTCTTCTGGGGATGCTGCCTCCAATAGGCTTGCAATGAACAGCTCCAACAGCTCCCGTTAGCTCCAGACTTCAGTTCTTGGCATTTTTTTTTTACGACGAGACAGCCTGGTGCTGCCAGGGCATTGCTTTCAGGTTCGACTGCTTGGGATCTTCAGCGGTGTATTTCGCCAAGCCAGCCCTCCCCCCTGAGAGGTGACCCAACGCCCCTGCCGCCTGAGCAGCGCCGCATCCTCACTTGGGATGCGGCGGTGGATCGCCTTTTCGAGTCTGCGGAGGCCGCTCTTATGGAGAGTTCCGGGCTTTCATGCTAGGGTTGCGCTCCCGCTAGGTAGGGTAATTAGGGTTATGAGTTCTGCAGCAGCTGAACTTTGACCAGCACGAAGCCTGCATCAAACCAGCATGGGGCATATTTTGGTTCAGCTTCTTGCCGGCTTGCCTGTAGGACGCAACACTCATTCGACCCACTCTAACTACGTAAGCTGGCCTTCGTCAAACTGCGAGTTCGATCATGATGTCAACTTCTTTGTGGCATCTGCCGAACGGTTCAGCCGCTGTTGTGGTGTAGAGTGGCAATGACATGCCGTTACTTGTAAGCTAGTGAGTAAGGGCATGTGTTTTTCTTTCCCTGTGTTCAGGTTTGTCATTGATCGTTACTTGCAGTGACCTCGAATTTTCCACACCCTCCATAGTCACAGTCGCTTCCAGTCTTGCAGGTGCGGGTTCTATCGGGGCGCTATCAACGCCCATCCGAAGCGGCGGCATCAAGACTCGCGTACCAGCTGCATTTTGATGTCTTCAAAGATGGCTCTGTCCTGGCCGACATCATCCGGAAGACTTCGCTTCTGTGCTGTGGTTTAGGATTCTGTGTTCTGTGTTTTTTTGGCTCCCGGTCAAAGCCAAACTTGACGTAACCCAACCGGTCATGTAACCTCACGTTGTGCATCCCAAGAGCTTGCCAAGCCCCAATGCGCCTTACGCACCTACGCTGCCTCTCGCCTCCCGGCATGCCCCTGACAGGTTCGGCTCTGAGTATGAGGAGACGCCCTGGGACGAGCCTCTTGCCAGAGATCTGGAGTCCCAAGCCCTAGAAGCCCCAAGCCTACCCAAGTTTCTGGAAGGGGCTGAAATGTTGTGGACTGGTGGCTCGACAAGGCATCATGACTTCTGTTGAAAAGCAGAGGACAGAGAGGATGCAACGGCTCTAACGTTTTGTGGGCTTGCGCCCTTATCACTTTGAGCTTAGGTACTTCAAGGAGTGGCGAAAGACGCAGCTGAACGTACTCAAGCAGGAGGCCAAGAGATTTCAGGTGCAGTTGAAGGGGCAGACCTCCCACCTCCTCGAGTATGAGACGTATTTGAAGGACCGGAAGAGGGTTTAGGATGGTTTAGGGTGTCGACTGGGTGTCGATGTGTCGGGGTGAGTCTATACAAGCATGCTAAAGAGAAGGGGTAAGGAGGCTAGGAGGCTAGGGTGCTGGTGCTGCTGGTGTTTGCTGCTGAGGGTTAATCTAAAGGTCTTCGTTCATCTGTCTCCCGCAGTGAAATGAGCATGCCCTGGACGCTGTGATGCCCATGACGCCCGTCTAGGACTGGTGGACTCATGTGTCTCCCATTTGCCTCCCAAGATTTGGCTCACTTGTTCCCCTTTCGTCTCTGGATGCTTTGACGTCCGTCTGGGACTGGTGGACTCTTCCTTTTGTCTGTCATTTGTCTCCCCGCTTGTCTCTCATAGGTCTCTCACAGACTGAGTGCTGTGACGCCCGTTTGGGACTGGTGGACTCATTTTTCCCCCTCCCTGGATGTGACACTGGCGCTTGTGTCCGTCTCCCGTTGTGAAATGAGCAGACCCCGGATGCTGTGACGCCCTAGGCCTTAAGGCAGAGGCCCAAGGGGATTTTTAACATCATTGATGCCAAGCCCTCAATCAATTCTGTAGCAACGCAGGACAGGCTGGAAGAAATCTCTGAGATGATCGTTCCAAAGCGGTAGTGAGATCTACTGCACTATCGCCACATGCACATTCGAGTCCTTCCCTTCACCGTCGGAGAAACTGGCAGCTCCGTATCAATCAAAATCTGCTGCCGATCAAGGATCAATGTGTCGATCTCAATGCAGCTTCCGACTAGCGTTTCACATGTAGGCTTGGGGTGCGTTGCCCAGCAGATGAGAGTTTCGGGAACTGAGCACCCCATTCAAAGAGGAACTTGGGAAATATGGATGGCAGCCACCCAAGCTATACATTCCCTGGCTTATTAGTCGGGAACATCATGTGCTCGTGCACAGATATTTTTGCCACGTAAAAAGTTCCGGCGTTTGCTTCATGGAAGTTGCCGCGGTCCGCCATGAGTTCGCTCGCGGGCAGAGCAAGCAAATCCGGTCTTTATGTGTCATAATCCCTTTTGAACAAAAGGTCTCGTCATGAACAACGGCCCAAGGGTCTCCGTCCCTGTTGCTGCCCTGTTGCTGCCGTGTGAGGTGGCCGAGCATCCTGGCGAAGCTGCAGTGGGAGTTTCAGGCGGACTCTGGCAGCCTGCCCACGGCGCTGGGCTTCCCAGGAAAGGGGGGGGGGGTGGGTGCTAGAAACAGGAAGGCAAATGGCCGCAAGTAGCAGGAAACGGTAGTACCCAGGTCACGAACAACATGAAGCAGAGGATGGCTGTGTTCTTTTGAACCAAGGCGGCACCAGAAGACAACTGCAGATGGCACTTGTGGAAGTATCGTTCCTGTGCTGGAAAAGGGCTCGGCCCCGAAGTGCCGGTTTTGCATTGCGTACGCTGTTGGGGTCGGTGAATCCCAGGGAGCGGCGGAGCGGCGAGGAGCGGCGGGGAGCGGCGGGGAGCGGCGAGGAGCAGCGAGGAGCGGCGAGGAGCAGCGAGGAGCGGCGGGGAGCGGCGAGGAGCGGCGGGGAGCGGCGAGGAGCGGCGGGGAGCGGCGGGGAGCGGCGGGGAGCGGCGGGGAGTGGCGGGGACGTGACGACATCAGCATGCATCCGTTAAAAAAATCCTTTTCGCTGTGCGGTTTCAGACGTACGCTGGACGCTGTCTTCCTCAACTCCAAACACAAAACACTGAGGATGCCAAACTACCCATTAAGAGAAAGGATGTCTACACATAAATTCAACTGTCTCACCTCGAATGCTCTCCGACGCCTTATTCTATATTCCATGCCTTTGTCAGCGCACGCAGTCATGGTGGCCGAAGCCTAGACCCGTCTCAACACTACGAATCTTCACGATGCTACAGCTCTAGGCTTGATATCGTGTGATTTGCTCGCGGAGTTGCAGCACTTGCTTTCCGCAAGGGGCGAAGGGTGCGCTCAGGGCCACCGAACCGTCGGGGAGCGTTGAGAAGCATTGAGGAGCACGGAGACACGCTGACGGGCGCTGAAGCATGGACACGATCGAGCGACTACTGCGGCTGCGTGTTGTGCGCTTCTAGTTGACTTGTCCACTGTGTGGGTGTCTCTATACATACCTGCCCACAGCTCCCCACAGCTCCCCACAGCTCCCCACAGCTCCCCACAGCTCCCCACAGCTCCCGCAGCTCCCCGCAGCTCCCGCAGCTCCCCGCAGCTCCCCACAGCTCCCCACAGCTCCCCCCACGCCCACAGCGCCCCACAGCGCCCCACAGCGCCCCGCAGCGCCCCGGAAACTCGACCCCGATTGCCCGCACTCTGCGGTTTTGGCTAGGATGGCCATGGCCGAGCGTCTAGCCTTTTTTTGCATGTGCAGATATATATATATATATCTATATATATATATATGCATACACACACACATATATATATATATATCTGTACATAGCCGGTCTTTGGCAGGGAAGCCACACCACTACTATGTCACCAAGGTACTAGCTTCGAAGAAGTTCAGGGGATGCTCAAAGCTCGACCAGTTCAATGTGGAGCAGAATCTGGCACCCGTGCTGAAAAGGGGGATGGGCTTGCTGTCCCTATGCTCCATACTCCGTTCTGCCACAGGAAGGGTGAGAGCGCTTCCGGGCCCAATGTCCCTTGGGCTTTTTCTTGAGGAGTGCATGATCGCGGCTGATGAGTACTACTCCAAGCAGCGGCTGGAGCCGCCCGGGTCGCGTGCAAGTTGGTGACTGGGGCAGCATCCCGACGCTGACCGTTGCATCGGTTAGTCCCAGGGCACGTTGCGAAAGAGACCTGTAGGAATGCCCGCGACCAGCACATGATGACGACCATCCTTCGCTTGAGGGCGCATTCCCGAGAGCTCTTCGGCCTTGACGAGAAGGCGCCCCGAACCCCCCTGAATCCCCGATGGTGCCACAAGCAGGGGGCCATTTGTCACCCCAGAGCCCTCGGAACGGAACGGAACAGAACTGGAGCATCTTTGTCTTTTGGGATGGGTTAAACAGGGAATGGCTTGTAGCAGCTCATGGCATCGTCCGTCAGGATCTGAAGATCATTGTTTGGGCGCACAACTCCCATGTGGGCGACGCAACTGCCACTCCCATGGGGGGAATGAACTTTGAGAGAAATGAGCGTTTCGATTGCATTGTACCAGTATGGCCTGAGGGTTGCCACAAGTGAGCATCATCTTGCCGTAACTTGCCTGAAGCACAGGAAGTGGAATTTGGGCCAGCCGCATCGTCTGCAGCTAGTGGCGAGTGAAACTCGTGTTCTACAGCCCTCCTGGCCCTTGTGGCCCTGAACTCTCTCGCACTCCCACTCCTGCTCTCTCACAACACATTGTCACATCGCAGACACCCAAGCCCCCCAAGCCTCAAGATCAACCAAGAATGTGCCGGAATACGCTGGAGTCGGTGTTCATCGTGGGCTTCTATTCCTTCTATGGGGAGGTGCGGGCTGCGAAGAGATGGGGGGGCGAAGGCCAAGTCATGTCGCTCACTCCTGCGGTGCCTGGGCACGGGGCTGGGCCCAGAAGCTCACAATGTGTGTTTATTGGGAGTTGTTGGGGTGTTTTTTGGGGTTCTTCTTTTGGGGGGGTTTGCGCACCGTGGGCAAGCGTTAGGTGCCCTACTCCTTCGAGCATCGGCTGCACGAGTGGTTTCCGGAGAAGCGGGCACAGTTTCCGCTCCACAGGGTGCGGGAGGCTTCGAAGAAGTTCGAGCCCTTAAGCAGAAGTGTGATGTGCATTGTGGTGCTTCCTTGCAATGTAGGCATTGTCGCAGCAGGATGGTGCTTTTCTGAAGTCTTCAATCGCATACTCAGGTACATCCCGTCGAAGTTTCCCTTGAACGTCGAATACAGGGCTCTTCATCCAATGGTCAGGGTGAGCAAGGATGTTATGATCCAAAACCAATCTAGTGAGGAAGAGGCTGGTAATGACGGGGCCGATGACTCACTGAAGCACAAGCACCCGACGCTGGACCCTGCAAAGCCCTTTGTTGCCGTGCAGAGGGCCCACGTAGGTAAACATGGCGAAGTCGTGCGTCTTCAGATTCGTGGCTATGACCGCGGCCAATACGATGGATGGTGGGTGACGGAATATACACGGCACGGATCGAGGACCATCCACTGTCTCCCCTCCAGCCATTTAAATGCACTTTCGGGGCCCCTTGCGACGCCGGAGAAGGCAAGAACGGTGGCCAACTTTCCAATTCTCCAGCGCTGGGTCGGTGTGCAATACCACCCAGAGACAGAGATCGAGTCCCACTATGGCGAAATGGCCATTGCAAAATGCTATGACTTAGCAGCTCGCACAGACTGTGTCTATGTACTAGTCGGGGTTATATACCCTGTTGCGTATGTTAGTCTTCCTTCATCTGTTCCATCTTAATACTCAGAAGTTGCCCAAGGCAGTTTTCGTGGACAAGACTCGGGCACTGGATATCGACATGACTGCATCAGCTCCCCTTCCCGTTTCCGCTGCCTTGAGCGAGGCCGGGGCTCGCGTATTGGGAACGGCTTGAGAGACGAGATGAGGCGCTTGCGGCATCTTCGGGTCTTCCTTGAAGGGCTTACTAGCGAGATTTGCGCCTGTGGGCCGTCGGGATGGCTGCCGGGCCCTTCTAAGGGCGAGAAGCAAGCCACGGAATCCACCACAGCTAGTCGGCACAACCGCCGATTGTTAATGGAGCCCAGGCCTCAGTGTCTTCTCAGACTTTTGAAGGCCTCGCCGTGCCCCCGCATTTGCCAAGGTACCGGAGGATCATGAAGAACCCCATTGAGTATATTGAAGCGAGACCGCTGGACACAAATATTTTGGAATGGCATTTCGTGATCACTGGAAACCAGGATCCGTACACGGGCGGCCCCCTGTCCAAACTTGAGCTGACGCAACCGACTGAGAGGCAGGAGTTGTTTAGCTCAACTGTGAACTTGCCTAATTTGCGAGCCTGGTCCGCATATCTTCTAGAAGCTGCGCGTCCGGTCTCGAGACAGAGATCGGTACTTAGGCACAGAGATCGGCATGAAGCAGATGTCAGAGAAGCGCAGAAAGACCTGATAAAGCAAGATTGAACTTGTACTTGTATGTAATCGTAGGTAGGCCGTGGTAGATCTAGAGCGCAAAAGTCTATTGCCGTGCGTAGATAAAAGGGGCATGTGAGGCTCCCCGAGCATCCAAGCGTTTCGGCGTTCCTGGAGTGTTTTGGATAAGGTTCCTCATTACATTTGAGGCTCTTCACCAGCCCAACTCAACCTAATGCACCAATGCATCCATGAGGAAAATACCATGGCCCCTCGGATGCAAAGAGCCTCTGCAAGGCAAGTTGCCCTCTGCTCGGCCAGTGTTTGGGGTGTGTAGGGCCGGTTTTTTCGTAGGGTTTCGGGCTCGGGTCAGCTTGGCTCAACAGGTATGCCCACAAATCTTTCAGTACTTGCGCGGAATCACAAAGCCCGCAACCCTTAACGTTCCATGCAACGCAGTTGCCAGGCAGGACAAGACCCTAAGACTGAACCGGGGTTCTTCTCGCCCGTGGTCGAGGCATCTTGGAGTTTCCAGATGATTTTCCCATGAAACCTCCGTCGATTAAGCTGCCTGGCTGCATGAAGAGGGCACGAAAGGGTCAGCGAGGACTTGGTGAGTTGCAAAAGCGTGGCCTTTTTGGCCGGTGGGGAGTGGGGGTTCGACAATTTGGGTCAATAAAATGGTCAGAACCGCCAGCCTCAGCCAGGATGTTGACCCCGAGTGGCCGCTTCGAGATCAACAAGCGCATCTGTCTTTCCATGAGCGACTTTCACAAGGAGCGCCTTGGCTCAGACTTGGTGTTTTGCAAGTGAGATGTCGACTTGCAAGGCTTCAGACAGAGGGCTCTTGAGGCTTTCGGTCAGGGTTTTGGGGCAGCCTTCAGCTTGCTCTCGCCCCAATGGCCCAAGGTCTTGGAATCCCAGCTGGACTGTAGAGAAGATTTTGATCGGCCTCATGAGTTTCATGTATGAGGACGCGCAAGTGACGCGCACCTGCTGCTTGGGCCTGCAACGTTTTACCCCCACATGGGTACGCCTCGGAGGAGAACTCCGTTTCCATTGGCTCTATATTGGAGCCCAAAGAGGATCGACGGAGATACGCTTCCGCATCGGCTTATTTTAATGTCCCGTGCTGAGTCTGCCATGCTGTGCCACGGTTGGCCCATGTCACTGCCCGTTGTCCCAGGCCCAGAACGAGATTTATGTGCAGCTTTTCCAGACACCTGATGAAGCAGAGGAGGCTGACGTTGTGCGGCCTAGTCGAATGAGCAAACTCCACAACAGACCTTGGCCATTGCTGGTTGTGAGGAGGAGGACATCCGAAAGCTGCGCCGCGTGGCAGCTGAGGGTGACATCTCGGAGTCTGACAAGGACACTGTGCTGTACTATAGCCTTCGGCAGTACCATCTCACTCTCACTTGCAAGAACTGGCAGGCTTGCCGCTACTGCTTGGTGGAGTCTGGTGAGCTGGTCTCTCCGTGTGAATGCAAGGGCAGTGGCTTTGGACCCGAATAATCCCACATGGGCAACCTTGAGTTGCTTAGGCGCATGCTAGTTCCTGCCAGCCTTCTGCTTCTTTTTGCGACCAAGGTGGCCAGTGGGTGCACCTCAGCTGCTTGCGGCAATGGCAGAAGTCGGTGCTGCTCACACAGTCTACACATCCAAAGTACCAGACCCGAATTGACGAAATCTGCAGCTCAGGCAGAATGGCCAGGTTGGTGTTTTTTCAAGTGTTTATGAAGTACCCGTAGGTCTGAGATTTAGGGGGCCAATGCCCCAGGACCGTTTGGCCTTACCAAACCTTCAACGGCACTAAGAGCTTTCAAAACCCTTCACAAACCTTCACAAACCTTCAAAAGCACGTGGATTCTTCTTAGAGAAGGCAACGTCTGCGAGCGGCCCTTCAAGGACGCGTTCAAGCCCCGCAGCCGGCGCGAGGCGCCGGGCGCTCCGAAACAAGCGCGGCATAGAGGTAGCTGCTGATGAAGCCCTTAAAATCGCGGCCTTAAGCTTCCTGAAAGCAATTGAAAAAGCCTAAAGCAAAAGTGTAGAAGACAAAGAGACCTAAAGACCATGCCGTGGGTGGGTGAACGAGGCAAACGCAACAAGATAGCAGAATGAGGCTGCGGGCGCGGTCGTGAGACCGGGGGTGGACAAAGAGCCTCACTGACCGGATAAGAAGGGGAGGACAAGCAGCCGAAAGCAGTATGGGCCGCGGCCAAGGCGAAGATATGCAGGGGGCGAAGAGGAGACAGTTCGGGGCAGACCGGCCCAGCATTAACCAGTAGAGAAAGCCTGTGCCAACAGAAGAAGCTCCCATTCTCTTCGTTGTGGTCTTGAGCCTCTCCATATGATTAGGTGGGGTCTTGGTGGGTTCGGGAGTAAGCAACACTGGCGCAGTTGGGGTCGAAGCAAATTACAACTGCACATGCTGCGAAGCGGGAGACAATGGTTGTCCGGGGAACCGTAAACGGGTTCAGAGAGCCGCATGCCGAAAGTACCACGCTTGCCACGTGAAAGGCGGGTTGACCAGCAGAGAGGGCGAGAGCCAGAACACCGAGGGAGCGAGAGGCAGCTCAACAAAGAAAGGAATGAACAAAACAGAACCAGCTAAGTTCAATACGATTCAACTCACTTAATGTTGAATCCACTGCGGCCTGGAGGCTCTGTTGGAGTACACAGGGGAGGCGCGCTTGAGACATGGTCCGAGTGTTTCATCTTGGCGTTTCATGTCCCTTTCGTTGCTCGAGATTCAGGAGCTCCCCCGGCTGATCCAGAAGGGGAATCTCCTAGTGCCGTCCGGCTGAAAGAACTGGTGCAGGGGGGGCCCAAGAGCATGCTCGGCTTGTGACATGTGGTCTTGTTTCCTCCTAAACCTCGCCTGAGCAGACTCGCTTGGCACGTCCGAGTATCAGTATCTATTAAGGAAGCTATGGTTTCGTGCGTTAAATCGCCTCAATATTGGAATCTAGAACTCGCAGCTTCCCTGAGTGTGGGCAGCCCGCTACTTTTGCCCAAAAAGAGGAGCTCTCGCCCGAAGTCCGAGAAGAACGGGGAGCTCATGCGGCAGCAGCCCGGGGTCTTTGCCGCAAAGTGGCGCGGCCTCATTTTCGTTTCACTGCTTTCATCACTTTTTCATCACTCTTTCGTCACTTTCATCTGCTTTGTGTGTTCCAAGAAGGGGTTTGGGGAGTGGTTTGGGGCTTACGGCTGGGTCCACGCATGTCCTCTATGGTTGCAGTCAGGGTTTTGCGAACCCTCGCCGCAATGGCAGAGGAATCCCAACCATGGGGGGCAAGCACAGCCAAGAGTTGTTTGAACGCCGATATTCCCACAAAGCCAAATTCTCCAGAGACGACGAGCAGCTCGATTCAGTACTACAGCGCCCCTCGCACGTCTTTTCTGAGTGATTTTCGCGTATCATTGACCATCATTTCGCCCAATATAGACAATGCATCGGTTCGGCCATTTTCGTGCGAACAATCCACCCTGACGAACTACCAGGTTTCACCAATTCTCCCCCGTCCCCCCCTCGTGGACCATCCCTTATCAGGAAACCTCGGGCACGTTAGGGGGTCACCTTCCCACTTTGACTTTTGCCTGCCCCTGACCACATCCTTACACCCCGTTCCTCTAAACACACGCTCGGGGCGCTGTTGGAGTTTACACATGTGACTCTTGCGAAGACAGTAGTCCCTGGTGGCTGTCGGCAACCCGCCTGATGGGGATCTCCCATCCCCACGAAGGCTGGATTGCTTCTCATGTGTTGATTCCGTTAACTACCTTTACGCTGGCCGTCCTGGGTCGCTCGCCAACTCACTCTAAAACACTGAGTCTGAGTAGGTCTTTGTCGTCGCCCTACACAGTTTTAGTATCCCCGGCGCCAACCTAGAAATCATCAGCCGATTACATCGACATTTGCCACGCTTATGCGGCGCTGCTTCGCACCTTCTCACCCAACCCCCGCCTGCCCTCGGCGCTTCCGATGTCTCGGCGGAGGCAGACCTCCTAGCCGCGCCAACCTTTCGATTCTGTCTTCCTTAAAGCACTCGAACCAACAGTTTCGGAGCATGATCAAAAGTTGTACCTCTCCACCGGGACCGTCCCGGCAGCAGCTTCCGAAACAGGCTTACAAAGCTCCGCAATTTGTGACAAGCACGCCAAGAAGGATTCAAAGGTAGACGCGTGGACCACGCTCAAGTTCCGGCATAAACCTTACTCCCCCAGATCTCCGGTACTTTGGAACCACGGTTCTTCCTCCAGGTTGCTCTTTACAATCCGTCTTCCATGGGGCCTGATGCTTTTCCGGCCGCACTGATGGCTGTGCTTATTGCGCGTGCAAGCTCCTCGCAAGCTCACCCTACTTTTTGACCACCCTACTTTTTGACCACTACACTTTTTTTTCTCTCGCCTGAGGAACCATGCTGATGGTGGAAGCTCAGCATGGTTGTCATGCTTCCAAAGGGAAGACGAAAGAGCTTAGGCAGCCCATCTGAGATCTATGCATACTAACATACTAAGGAGGGTCACACCTTTTCCTCCAAGATGCCCTTTTGCGGGCAACACATGGCTGCCCATTCTCCTGAATGATGTCCATGCTCGATATCACGCCCAGTGGGGGAACCTCCCTACACCCTTTTTGCTTGACCTGCATGACCCACCGCTATGTGTGTCGAATATGACCATAGCTCTTTGGCCAGCACCGATGCTGCTCACTCGAAGCATTTGAGGCTGGGGCCAGTTCTTTCGCCGCCAGTCTATATCTATCTCCCACTCCCGCCAACATTTGTTCATTTCCATGTCGTTCCTGCCACGCCAAACACTTGAGCTCTAAAGCCCTCCGACAGATTTTTATTCATGTCTTCAGCTCCTTACATCTGATGTACACTGCTCCAACGAACACAGAAACCTCCTGGGCCATATCCTGGACCAGCACCGGTCCGCACGCTCCTGGCGCCGCGAATTTGCTGTCTCAGAAGCTCGCCAGGGGATGATGCCATAGGCACCTGCCCCCAACGCTGGCTTACGACAACGCACCCGCTGGCAATACCTTGCCACTGGCAGTTGTAAGCTTCGAGAGAGAAGGAGGGTGGCAGATAAGCACCAGGTCCTGGCCTTGGGCCTCAGATGTTTGATGAGTATCAGTTTCTCGGTAGCGGGCGTACGCTTGCAAGGGGAAACTCATACTGATGGCCACACCTAGACGGGCGACACGCCAGCTGTATTGAGTTTAATGTTTGGATCGTTGAACAGGTTTTCCCACCCTTCGCCTGAGGCTGGGTCACTTCACAGCGGCGGTGTACCTGATTGCCCTGCTGGGACCTCAGGGTTAGGTCCTTCGGGCAGAAGGTTTGACAACCAGTATTTTCAATCACTTTAATAGTTTAGTAAAGGGCCCTAAGGTTGAGGTGACAAAAGTTTCGCTCTGAGGCTGCATGCTGTGGTCTTGGATGCCCCACATCCTCCATAAACCCTACATGAGGTCTACGGCCTGGGGTCTAGACTCTAGGCTGTTTTGGCATTGGCCCAAGCAAAACTGCTCGAATGTTGTTCGGCAGCAGGCCCGTTGTCCCGCAGCCTTCTACCACATGTTTCTTTGTTGTGTTCAATGACAATTAGTGCTGGCGACGCCCTGTCGATGCTTTTTTTCGTGGTGGCACACTCGAGCTCCGAGAATATGCCGAGTGTTATTTTAATGTACGTGTGCACCCATCAGTGCACTTTGAACTCAATCCTAGCTTAATTCTGTGGCCCCGGACTGCCATCTCAAGTGTGCAAACAGTTGTTGCTTCCAATGGGGATGCCGCCTATTGTTGTGGCCGCGTGGTGCAGTGCAACCATTGCGGTCAACTTGGTTGGTTGGATGACATTCGGTTTTTTGCTTGCTTCGTGCTGCGGGGTTGCGGTCGTGTTTGCTTTCATTTGGTGCAGTTGCATAGCTGCACACGTGGCGCGTGTTGCCACAGCATTTCATGGTTCTTGGGTTCAAAATCTTCAAGCAGACGATGGCCGACGTCTCCCATCCAGAAAGCCGAGCGTGTGGTGCTCGCCAGTCGGTCGTCCGACGGTGGTTGGCAGCAGCGGTGCGCAGCATCGAAGCTTTCCACAGTGACATGCAACGGTCTACGGTCTTGGCCCGCTGTGGACATCGTCCGTTCAGCGATGGGCGAAGTTCCCGCCATCAAGGCAGCTCCGTTAGACCTTGCGGGTCACTCAGGCACTCTTGCGCATGCCCTCCGCAATGGCTCAGCACCTGGCTTTTCGACAAAGGTGGCGTGCTCGAGCGCGACAAGGGCAGCAGTTGAATTTGTCAAGATTGTTTCGCACCTCCGCAACTACCAGCCGTGCGCGCCAAGTTGCGAACGAAGTCCATCTCAAGGGTAGCCACGCTCGGATGCGACGAGCCACCCGCGCGCAAGCTTACATATGTGCAAGACAGGTGCACTACCACTCGTCAAACTTCCAAAAATCTCCCTAACCCTATGAAAACCCTAAAATTTCTAAAGCAGTTCTTTTCGTCTGCAGAGTTGAAGCTGCCACTGGGCCAGGTGCGAGCCCTACAACCCCAACAAGCGTGGGGGAGGGGCTGCCGGAGCCTTTGAGTGGACGAGTCGGGTGAGTTGTCGTTGGTGTAGCTTGTTGTTTCCAGCATCAATGCGTGTTTGGCAGGTTTCTCATGTTTATCTCAGCTGTTCCACTGAACCAGTATCCCTGGAGTGCCTGTTTAGGTAGTCCTGTGCAACATCTCGGAGTGCCCACCCAAAAACAATCCCACGAAGAAAACCCCCGGAATGTCCACCCCAAAGAATCCCGCGAAGCATCCCTGGAGTGCCCCCCGCCACCCACGAGGGGCGAGGGAGCACCCGCGTGGCATTGCGTTCGAGTGCTCGAGGTTCTGGCTGTCAACCTGGTGCAGAAAGTGCCATGTCCGCTGGAGCGCACATCGCGACCTCTGCTGCAACAGGGTCCCGATGTTGAGGCATCGGGCGCCACAAAAACGGAATAACAGCTACGGTAGGGCTCAGTTCAAGTCCCTCCAAGCTACAGCAATCCACACGTGAAAGGCAGCACGTCCCAAGCAGTTTCACTACGATGTTTCACTAGAAGCAGTTGCCAGGTGACGACCTACCCGCTGAGGGAGTGGCAGTCCAGCTACGCCCCGCTAGTCCAGGCAGCTTGTGGGTTGCAATGTGAGGAGTTCAAGGGCATCCCTCGTTCACAGGGCTTTCGACATGAAGTCCCCAACTTAGCGATTCTCCTGTGAGGATGCCGTGGTGCTTTGCTGTCCATTGCCGCAGACTGGAGTTCCAAAACCGAACCTCAACAGACCCTGCCCACTCTCTCCTTCAATCCTCGTGTTAAGGTAGCGGGGCCACAAAGAGTGTTCAAGGGATTTTGGATGTTGTGCGGTTCCGGGCTTTGTCTTGAGGGTGGCCGGCCCAGTGTCGTACAGGTTCTGCAGGCCGCTCGAGTCCTGGGGCCCAGGGCCGTGGAGCATTTCCTCGGTGGGCCTGTAGAGCCGGCAGAGGCCAGGGCTGTGTGGTTTCGGGTTCCGGATGGTGCAGCTTTGGGGCTTGCGTCAGCTTGAGCTGTTGAAGGAGTTGAAGTTTAGAGGCCTTCCAGTGTTTTGGAATTCAGGAATGGGGCTTGAGAATGTGCGGTAAGACTTCGGCGATCTGAAAGTGCAGGGATGACGGCCATCCCTGCACCAAGACCTAAAACCCAAAAGCGATTCCGAAAGCGTTGAGCTCATTCTTGCTTTGCCGTGCCCTTGCAGACCCTCCAAGGCATTCGCACTGGTGGAGATACCCCTCGAAGTGCTGGACGCAGTGCCATGTTTCATGTCGGGCCTCATCAACGCTAGCAGAATGGTGACGAAGCCACGAAGCACACCTGGTCAGAGCAGAGCTTTCTGCGGGGTGCATAAGCGCTTTTTATTCTTTGCACCTGGCCCCTTTATTGGCATGGCTTGCTGAGGCAAAGCATGCGACAAACGGCTTTGCAGTGGATCCTGGGATTCGGAGGCAGCTCGCAAGCTGCTTTGAGCTCCTGCCCCCTGGCGGATGAATCCCTGAGCTTGAGCCCAAAACCTGAAAGCCAAGTTGTTCTGAGACAAGACAAGCATATCAAACATGTTGATGACCAGACCTGCGAGTCGGCGAGGCCCCCACAACGCATCGCGCAACTTTCACGGCTACGGATCAAGGGCAGCAACTTGGGCCTTCCAAGGGCCTTTGAGAATTTGTGTTTTGTTCGAAAAAGCGATGTAGTCTCCTCCGAGCACGCTCTAGAAAACAGACGCAGCTCTTTGTGACTCCGAGGCATTTATTTCGGCATCTTGGTGCATATAGCCGGCACAGCAGTTGTTATCGTTGTTGACTGTCAGTCATCGGGTGTAGCGCTGCCACCTTGGTCAATCGGATGCGAGGAGAACTCGGAGTCATATTGGGGCTGCTGGCTAGCATCTTCGTCCAGGTCGGTACGGGCGATGGTTTCTTGTCCCTTGGCTGCTCACCGTGCTTTACCACGCTTGCGTCATGCAGACGTTAGTGGTGACAAAGCCAGCAGTGACATAACATCTTTGCTTCAAGTGACGACCCAGGGCTTTTTCGCATTCAGCATTGCGATCTCCTGGTCTCCTGTGCACCGCAGGCTGGGCGACGCGCCTCTGAAGGTCTTCTGGGGCTATGCGTCCTGGAACGCAACGCAGTTGCTTGGAGAGATTGCCCGGCGCGGCTGGGGTCTTGTGGACGCTCAGCTGAGTTCTTGCGCATCGGACAGTCCAGAGAATAAGTAAAAAGATTGGCCGCTTGGGGCAACAAAGGCGCTGAAGTTCGACAGTAATCCATTTTAACTTGCCACCCCGGTTCAGGTAACGGATGCCACCATGTCGTTCTCAACCTGGGAGCAAACAGTGGCTTCATGGGAAGCTGTGGTGGACAAGAGCATTGTTGCCCGTGAAAGTGAGTACTCTAATTAGTGCGAAATTAGTTGCAATGCACAGTGCACGCCCTCACACAGCATCGCACAGTATGGGCCCGAGCCCATCACACTTGGGCGTCCCTGGATGTTAGCAATTCCATGCGAAGGTCGAAGGGAAGAATTCGACGCCGCAATCCTGCAACATCGGCAACATCGGCAACATCGGCACCCAAAGCCCAGCCTACCCCATCAAGAGCTGAAAAGGGCGGCGAAGAATCGGCCCTTTGTGTGGAAGGCGTTCCAAAGCTCCGTGAGCAGGAGGAGTGTTTTGAGACAGAGTCACCTGATGACGGATCCCACTCCGCACGGCTTTCTTTGCATTTGAATGATCAAGCTTTGACATTCAGGAAGTGCCAAGCGACAATCAGCAGCGCGCGAGGCCAACCTCATTGCGCTATTTTCTGGGACAGCCTGACGGGGCCTAAATGGCTGCCTACCCTGAAAGATCACCTTCCAAGAATACATCCGCCATGGTTTGTCCCAGACCATATCCGTTTCGTTTAATTGTTTGCCGATGGCATTGCTAATGACGGAGCCAGAGATGTTCTCTTGTTGGCTCAGATTTCATGCTTACGTTAACGGTGAACAGCGTGTGAAGGATTTTCGAGACTCACATCGCTTACAGGAAAAGCTGGAAAAAGCCGCTCAAGGAACCTATGAACTCCAAAATGATTTGGGGGTTTTGGGCGTGATATTGAAAATGATGCAGTCTCGAGGCGAGCCTTTCAGGCGCCACGAGGCCACGGGCAATTCTTGCAGACTGGCAATGCCCTTGCAATTGATCTGCACTGCCATCCTCGATTACCAGGATTGTTTTCTTTACGTGTCTTCGCGAATACGGTTCAGGGATTATAGGGCCGAGCCGAAACGCATGGACGTTTGGTTGCCAATTCTTGGGCATCCCAAGCTGAAGTCCAGAAACTCCAGAAGCAGAACCGTTGCGGTGGGGTGCGGTTGCTCCAGAAGACTTTTCACCCCAACCCGATGCCCTGCTGACATTTGCGCCCCAGTAGTCCGATGTAGGGTTGTTCGGTTTAGAAGGGTCGAGGTTTTGGGCTCCTCACGGAGGTTGGACGCAAGCGTGCTGGACCGCAAAATCGCAGAACCGGCCAGAGGACCCAGCTCGGATATTTCGAGGGTTTTTGGTAAAGGTTCCAAGTTAACTTTGCAGGAAAGGAATGAGGAGGGGGAGGAGGGGGAGGAGGGGGGGGAGGAGGGGGAGGAGGGGGAGGAGGGAGGAGGGGGAGGAGAGGGAGGAGAGGGAGGAGAGGGAGGAGATGGAGGAGAAGGAGGAGAAGGGGAGAAGGAGGAAGAGAAGGAGGAGAAGGAGGAGGAGGAGGAAAAGGAGGAGAAGGAGGAGGAGGAGGAGAAGAAGGAGGAGAAGGAGAAGAAGGAGAAGAAGGAGAGAAGGGGATAATGGGAGAAGGAGAAAAGGACTTTGGAGCTTCCTCCTTGAAGACAGGCTCGTCGGGTTGAGAACTAATCAGCAGTTCAATATTGTAGTATACGCGCGCTCTCAGGTGTCCAAGCAGTAAGCATTCAAAAAAGCAAAGGGTCAGAAATTCAACCACGGTATGATGTCTGACATCACTTTTATCTGGCGATTGTCTGCGCTGATTGAGACTGAGGTGAGGCTCCCACGCGGCCGGTCTGAGGCAGCGTGCCTGTCGGGGTCGATCATGACAGAAAGGGGTAACAAGGACGAAATGAGAGCCAGCTAGTCAATGGCGTGGTACCTTGAATTGCTTGACAAAACATAGAAGAGGGCGCATGGTCGCACTGGAAGGAGGCAGAAGGGTTGCGGCATCCTAGGAAGACCAAGCAAGTACCCCACATGGTTCTTCCTCGTTCGTTGGGCAGCTTTAAATGAACGCAGTGCCGTTTTTCGAGTTTGGGAGGTTGACTTTCGTGGATGCTGGCTTGTTGCCCAACGTGCTCAACATTGCGAAGACTTGTTACAAAGTGCGCAAATCGCAGGCTGCATCGCGAGACCCTCAAAACTAAACACGCTCCGCTGCAATGTCTGAGAGTAAAGCAAGATCCCTGTGTGGACGCAACAAGAAACTGCGTGCGAACCATGCCAGTACCATGCCGGGCCACAGAAGTCCGAGGTCCAATTCTGCTCAAAAGCCTTGAACCGAAGAACCTAGACCCCAAACCTCGACGCCGTAGCCTTGGACAACCGTGGACAACCAGAATAAGTCTTGCAAGGGCCCCTGGTCTCCACCTCGGAATGGCCAGCAGTGGCCATCCCCAGAACTACGTGAGTTGGCCGCCTGGCCTCAACAGATGGCTTGCCTATTGGGTGTGTGATGTTTTAGGTTTGGGCTTTCGGGCCTGCAACATCGCTTTGTGCTGCAAATGTCGCATCGCAGGTGCGTGATGTTGGGGATTCACAATCCAGGTTGTGTAAATTCATTTTTTGCGGCATGAGCGTCTTCTCGTGCCTGTTCTGGGGCTTCCACGCAAATAAAGTTCAAGCTGCAGACAAAATTCACCTAGACATTCAGGATGCAAGACTTTGATGTGGCTTCTCCCGGGGCTGGGTTGGCTATGGGATGCGGGGCAACGCGCAGGATAATGCGGGACAGTTGAGAATTGGCGGTTCAGGTTTCAGCATGCTGAAAGCCCGATGGGCGAAGAGAGAAAGAATTCAGGCTGAAAAAGGAGCCGGCTTGGGCACTCGCAGAGGTCAGCAGATCTCTTGAAGGAGAGGGCATGCAGACGCAGGATGTTGACCTCAAACAAAGTTTTGACATGCCCTCGGACGTATGTCAAGCTCCAGGCCGACAAGTCTACTCTAGACGAGGCAGAGACAGCACCTTTTGAGGAAGACGAGACCTTGCATCGGCCGATCCGCAGGCTGCTCATGCAGGTGGAGATCCGAAGAGGGCAGGACTTGATGCATCAGAGTCAGGCAAGATAGTCAAAGCCCGTGGAGGAGGAAGAGGGAGCAGGATGAGCTGAACATATCAGGAGATCAGGAGTGTGAGAACGATGATCAGAGTTCGCGTGATGTTTGCTAAGCGCATCAGCCCAGGACTTCAAGATTGTTGGCATGTGTTTGCCGGAAAGAAGTTGCAGATGCAGTTTTGCAGATGTTGGCGGTGCAAACATCGCATCAGGACGGCAGCCTTCCGAAGTCAAGCAGGGACCACGTCACCCCAAGCCATGCCTTCTGCAGGTCCGCGCCACCGTCCGAGAGGCCAAGGCCCGCGAAAAGTGGCATTACAAAATCCCGTCAGACCCCTAAACTGCCTAAACTTAATGAATGGCCGAATTCCAAGTTCTTGCATTTTCCGGAAAAGCCGAAACTTTCTCCTGCACCACGGCAGAATGCAGGTGTTCAGTGTCGAGGTGCTTGTTGGCGCTGCGTGCGGCTCAGGGCGTCTGGATTATTCGTTAGGAAGTTTAACGTTGGGTTTAAGGCTTTGGGCCGTTTGGGCCTTCATGGTTTCAGGTTGAGGGCAAGTTCAGGGCTTCGGGATTTTGAGGGGCGTTTTCATCTGTGAAGACCTACAACTCACACTGGGCCGCCCACGAACAGGTTCAGGACAATAGGCCCAAGATGAAACAGCCGAGTAAACTTTGAGGACTTGTCTCTGATGGACCTGCGCCCTGACCGGTTAAACTTTGTAGGCTCTTGCCTGTTTTGGCTGTGGCGTGGACAAAAATGCCTGAGGCCATTTGCATCAGCGCTGCTTTGCAGAGGTTCCCACCCCTGCAGGGCTGGGAGGGCGATGACCAGTTGCAGAGCTTTCTTTGACTCAGGAGGGATGGCGCCTTCCTCACTCACATGTTTTTCCTGGCCATGAAACAAACAAATACCAAAGGAAGCCTCGACCACCCCCAGAGCACCCGTTTCCCAAAGACATCCGTAGAATCTGTCCCAAAGCGATAGGCATGTACTACTATTCATGATGCTAATGTCGTCCAGACGGGGAACTATCGGCAGGACATTCTTGCTTTTCCCAGAAGCCCCTATGCATAGAGCTGCGTCGGGTAGTCCCCCCTCCTCCCCCCCCCCCATGCTATGGACTTCGATCCGGGGGTTTTGAAGGTGTTAAGGATTTTAGGGTTGCAGGGTTTAGGGTTTAGGGTTTAGGGTACAGGGTTTAGCCTTTGCGCGAGGGTTTTGGGTTAGGTGGGGGTGGGGTGGCAGGGGATACCATGGGGGGGGGGGGGCGAGACTACTGACATGGCGACACGGAACCAAGCAGAGGTGCCCAGACCACTCGCCAATCTTTTGTGTGCACACTGCCATTTTTCGTACTATGGTCTGCATTGCTGCTATCTGCCTTGCGATTCTGATTGGACAGGGGCTTTTGCCAGCCCACGACCGGCTTTTTTGGTTTCGAGTGACATTGGCTTTCAGGGCCACCTTTTCGGCTTTGTGCGAGAAGCGTCAGCACATCAACTACCGAACAAACCCAATGCCCAGGTCGGTGGATGGTTCCGTGAAAACTGAAGAGCCGAGAACTATCGCCTGATCCCAAGCGCCCAAACCGGCCCAAACCCTACAAGCTTCAATAGCCATTGTTTCTTTGTGCTTTGCTCGCCATGGGGGCAGCGATGCCCATGAAGACCTGCACGGCCCGGCCCTCAGATAGATCCGACGCGGAGGCGTCGGATTGTAGACCTTTTCGCGGTGCAGGTTTCAGAGGCTCCTGAAAGATTTTTGTTGATGCTTTGTGTATCTTTGTGTTTTGGGGGAGTTTTGGGACTCAAGCCATGCTTGAGCCTGAACCCTGTCAGGTCATTGCAAGAATGTCGCAAGATTCCAGCCATGCACGATTACTACTACTGCTACTGCTACTGCTTCTGCTACTGCTACTGCTACTGTTACTGTTACTGCTGCTGCTACTGCCACTGCTACTTCTACTGCTACTGCTACTGCTATGACTACAAATTCCTGTATTTTCATTATTGTAACGAGTACTATCGCCATCAGTAGTACGAACATTGTTCTCGTTATTGTTGATTTCAATCACTACTACTTTCACACCCAACAAAACAAAAGGAGCGACAAGACCCGGAAGGACTAGTGCGAGCGTCGAAAGCCCTTCGGTAGAGTGTCTGTATGCCCAAGGTGGCGATGCCCTTAAACCTTTGAAGCCTTGCCTCCTGTGTGCGGCGGGAGCTCAACGCGCGCTTTCCCAAACGTTTGGCAACCCGATCGCATGCCGTTCTGACGAATGCATGCCACGCAACGCACGGCCAGCACAAACGCTGCTACCATGTTCGAGACCTTACCTCAAATCCTCGCCATAGTCTTAGCAATAGCACTTGTAGGAGCTGTAGTAGGTAGCAGAAGCAGTTGCAGCAATTTTGACAGCAGTAGTCGTCGTCTTGCCCACACTTTTTAAGCAGTAGACTTCTAAAGTTTCGTCACTCACTCTCTCACACAGCAGGCAAGGGTTTAGGGCTCAGTGTTTTCCAAGTGTTTTGAGGGATTTGCTTGGCTTAAGACATTGTAGCGTTTGGGGTTATGAGGGTTTTGGGCTTTGAGGGAAACGTACCAGCTGTTCAGCGGTGGGAATCCTCGTCGCCGTTATGTTGAGTTTTGAGCGTTTTGCCGAGGCAAAAAAGCGCATTGCTTGCGTTTTGTTCGAAGCAGGGGTCAGCGCTCTCCCTGGGCAACGAAGACGCCCCCAGGGAGGGGTGTCAACGTACCTGCACTGGTGGTAATCTGTTTAGGCTTTGCGGAGCGCACCACCCTTGGTTGTATCTATCTAGTGCCTTCATGAAGGGTTGCATGTCTCATCGCGCGCGCGCGCGCGGGTGTGTGTGTGTGTGTGTGTGTGTGTGTGGTGTTGTGTGTGGTGTTGTGTGTGGTGTTGTGTGTGGTGTTGTGTGTGGTGTTGTGTGTGGTGTTGTGTGTGGTGTTGTGTGTGGTGTTGTGTGTGGTGTTGTGTGTGGTGTTGTGTGTGGTGTTGTGTGTGGTGTTGTGTGTGGTGTTGTGTGTGGTGACGTGGTGTTGTGTGTGGTGTTGTGTGTGGTGTTGTGTGTGGTGTTGTGTGTGGTGTTGTGTGTGGTGTTGTGTGTGGTGTTGTGTGTGGTGTTGTGTGTGGTGTTGTGCGTGGTGTTGTGTGTGGTGTTGTGTGTGGTGTTGTGTGTGGTGTTGTGCGTGGTGTTGTGTGTGGTGTTGTGTGTGGTGTTGTGTGTGGTGTTGTGTGTGGTGTTGTGTGTGGTGTTGTGTGTGGTGTTGTGTGTGGTGTTGTGTGTGGTGTTGTGTGTGGTGTTGTGTGTGGTGTTGTGTGTGGTGTGGTGTTGTGTGTGGTGTGGTGTTGTGTGTGGTGTGGTGTTGTGTGTGGTGTGGTGTTGTGTGTGGTGTGGTGTTGTGTGTGGTGTTGTGTGTGGTGTGGTGTTGTGTGTGGTGTTGTGTGTGGTGTTGTGTGTGGTGTTGTGTGTGGTGTTGTGTGTGGTGTTGTGTGTGGTGTTGTGTGTGGTGTTGTGTGTGGTGTTGTGTGTGGTGTTGTGTGTGGTGTGGTGTTGTGTGTGGTGTGGTGTTGTGTGTGGTGTGGTGTTGTGTGTGGTGTGGTGTTGTGTGTGGTGTGGTGTTGTGTGTGGTTGTGTGTGGGGTTGTGTTGGTTGTGTGGTGTCGTTGTGGGTGTGGTGGTTGTTGTGTGTGGGTTGCTGTGTGTGGTTGTTTGTGTGTTTGTGTGTTTGTGTGTTTGTGTGTTTGTGTGTTTGTGTGTTTGTGTGGTTGTGTGTTTGTGTGTTTGTGTGTTTGTGTGTTTGTGTGTTTGTGTGTTTGTGTGTTTGTGTGTTTGTGTGTTTGTGTGTTTGTGTGTTTGTGTGTGTTGGGTGTTTGTGTGTGTTGGGTGTTTGTGTGTGTTGTGCGTGTGTTGTGTGTCGTGTGTTGTGTGTTGTGTGTTGTGTGTTGTGTGTGTGTGTTGTGTGTGTGTCGTGTGTGTGTTGTGTGTGTGTGTGTTGTGTGTTTGTGGTTGTGGTGTGTGGATTGTGTGTGTGTGGTTGGTGTTGGTTTTTGTGTGTGGGTTGTGTGTGTCCGTGTATGGGGTTTGTGTGTGGTTGGTTGTGCGTGTGGTTGTGTGTGGTTGTTTGTAATGTGTGTTGTGTGTGTGGTTGTTGTGTGGTGGTTGTCTGTGTGGTTTTGTGTGGTGGGTTGTTTTTGGTTGGTGTGTGGTTTGTGTGTGGGTTGTGTTGGTTGTGTGTGGTTTGGTGTGGTTGTGTTTTGTTGTGTTGTGTGGTTGTTGTGTTTGTGGGGTGGTGTGTGGTTGGTGTTGGTTTTGTGTGTTGTTGTTGTTGGTTGTGTGTGGTTGTGTGTGGATGTTTGTGTGTGGTTGTGTGTGGTTGTGTGTGGTTGTGTGTGGTTGTGTGTGGTTGTGTGTGGTTGTGTGTGGTTGTGTGTGGTTGTGTGTGGTTGTGTGTGGTTGTGTGTGGTTGTGTGGGGTTGTGTGTGGTTGTGTGTGGTTGTGTGTGGTTGTGTGTGGTTGTGTGTGGTTGTGTGTGGTTGTGTGTGGTTGTGTGTGGTTGTGTGTGGTTGTGTGTGGTTGTGTGTGGTTGTGTGTGGTTGTGTGTGGTTGTGTGTGGTTGTGTGTGGTTGTGTGCGGTTGTGTGCGGTTGTGTGCGGTTGTGTGCGGTTGTGTGCGGTTGTGCGCGGTTGTGCGCGGTTGTGGGCGGTTGTGTGCGGTTGTGCTCGGTTGTGCTCGGTTGTGGGCGGTTGTGGGCGGTTGTGTGCGGTTGTGTGCGGTTGTGTGCGGTTGTGTGCGGTTGTGTGCGGTTGTGTGCGGTTGTGTGCGGTTGTGTGCGGTTGTGTGCGGTTGTGTGCGGTTGTGTGCGGTTGTGTGCGGTTGTGTCACCCCCCACCCCCCCCCGTGTGTGCCGTTTGTGTGCGGGTGTGTGCTGTTGGTGTGTTTCGGTTTTGTGCGGTTGTGTGCTGTTGTGTGCGGTTGTGTGCGTGTTGTGTGCACGGTTGTGTGCGGTTGTGGGCTGGTGTGCGTTTGTTGCGTTGGGTCGCTTGTGTGCGGGTTGTGGTGCGGTTGTGTGCGGTTGTGTGCGTTGTGTGCGGTTGTGTGCGGTCGGTGTGCGGTTGTGTGCCGGTGTGTGCGGTTGTGTGCGGGTGTGTGCGGTTGTGGCGGTTGTGTGACGGTTTGTTGCGGGTTGTGTGCGGTTTTGGCGGTTTTGCGTGTGTTCGTTGTGTGCGGTTGTGTGCGGTTGTGGGCGGTTGTGTGCGGTTGGTGCGGTTTGTGTGCGTTGTTGGCGTTGTGTGCGGTGGTGTGCGGTTTGTTGCGGTTTGTGTGCTTGGCGGTTGTGTGCGTGTGCGGTTTGTGGGCCGTGGCGGTTTTGTGTGTGTGTGTGTGTGTGTGGTTGTGTGTGTGTGTGTGTGTGTGTGTGTGTGTGTGTGTGTGTGTGTGTGTGTGTGTGTGTGTGTGTGTGTGTGTGTGTGTGTGTGTGTGTGTGTGTGTGTATGTGCGTGTGTATGTGCGTGTGCGCGTGTATGTGCGTGTGCGCGTGTATGTGCGTGTGCGCGTGTATGTGCGTGTGCGCGTGTGCGCGTGGGCGCGTGGGCGCGTGCGCGCGTGTGCGCGTGCGCGCCTGTGGCGCGATGGGCGCGGCGCGTGTGTGCGCGTGCGCAGCGTGGCGCGCGTGCGCTGGCGCTCGCGCGCATAGCGGCGTGCACGCGCGCGTGCGGCGCGTAGTTGCGCGGGGGCGGCGTGCGCGCGTGCGTGCGCGCGTGCGTGCGCGCGTGCGCGCATGCGCGCGTGCGTGCTATGAGTTGCTGGAGATGAGTTTGAGAGGGTGTTGGGTGTTGGCTTCGGGTGTAAGGGTGTAGGCAGAAATGTGAGTTGAGGGAGTCGTGAGCAAAGTACAGGCAAGTCGCAAGCAACCGGACACAATCGCCCCCCCGCCCCCTCGCAAGCAACCGGCCGCCCGGAAAAACACCCAACGAAGCCTTTCGGAGTTGTACAGACGCCGTCACTTGGAACATTCTTGTACGAAAGATATTGCGTTCTTGAGAACTCCGTTGTTTCGGGTTTGGGTAGTTGTTTCCGCGCCTTGTTACGTTTCATTGCAAAAACGGACTCTTAGACCTGCATAAACCTAAGCCTGAGATGCACGCATGAATGGCAGATTGAATCCAGGCCCAGGCAAACATAGCTGGGGAACAACCACCACCGCCATCCTAGACTATTACTTCCTACGGTGCGAGGCCTGTACAACCCAGCTGAACTTCGGCAACGACGAGGCAGTGGAGCCGGTCGAGACTTCTCGAAACTTGGAGAAGCCTGGACCGCATGAAGCTCTCTGACCCTCGGAAACCCCTGTGCAGCCAGAGTCGGCTAAGTTGCAGTACATATGAGCTCCATGCACAGTCAGAAGCCCCCAAGTATGAAGGCGGGAACAAAGCTGAGGAGCCTGGAATGGTAGGCGCTCTTCACGCATAAACCAAGGTTCGACGAGAAACTCCTGCCTTTTTCCAGATGTACCTTGGCTGTTGCGTTGATGTTGTGTTGGTGCCTGGCATATTGGGGTTTGCAGTGACAGCGTTGGCAACTGCTCCCTTTGACACCTGGCAGGTTTTGCTGAGTTCAGTGCCCCATCTGCACAAAGGAAGCGACAAGGGCGTCGTGACGAATTTGCATTGGCACGTTGATTCGTTGATGCAAGAACCACTCTCAGGTGATGAGCTCGCGGCATCTGCTGCGACAAGAGGTCTCGGAATGCACGATGACACCGTCGTGACCCCATTGTCTCCAGCGCCTTGCCCGCGATCAGATTGGTTTGTGCAGGTCTCCAGCTCGTCTGTACTGCGCTCCTGTGACATCTGTGCCCAAAGGTTTGGTGTGATGTTTGTGGGCGCTTGCTCTTCGGCATGGTGCAAGACGCCGTCCAGCTGCCCGGATGCGTTTTGGTTTAGACGTTTCCTGGCGCAGTTATCTTCTTCCACGCCTTGGTCCAGTTGGATCTTCAAGATTCCAAGGTGCGGTGCGTGTTCTCGACTGGCATGCAAGACGTGCGCCTTCTCTCGCAGCTGCGCCGTGAAGGAAATCGGCCAGTACCTGGCGGCAGGCTGGCGATCAACCCAAGTAGGACTTGCGTCGCCGCCTTGAAGACTCAAACGAAAACTCAAGATACCCAAGACAGCGACAAAGCCTTGGAAGCGTGCCAGGGCGGCCCTCATGCTCAAATGCTCAATCCGCCACGAAGCCTCCCAAGCCTCCCAAGACCCCAAGGCCCCAAGGCCTTGACACCCCATGGAGGTGCCCCGCTTCCGATCGACCTTCAGAGCCGATGCGGCGAGGCGGTGCTGGCTCCCAGGTGCATGTTAGGTCCTGTTAGGTGGCTTTTTCGGAGTTATTTCAAGAATGTGAGTCGAGTGTTGAGGTCACTTTATAAGGTGTGAGTTTCTTGGTCTGGTTTTCGACACATGCCCATAGCCTCCGCCGCTGAGTGGTCTCTTAGCTGCTAGAAACGATTAGACCTAAACGCTTGATGCCACCTGGGCCAAAAACTCAGAAGCCCAGCAATCGCCCAGGTATTGCCAGTCGCCAAACACCACCCTTCCGTGCTCCGCTACGTGTCACAGGTTCGGAAGGGGCGCCGACCTAAACTACACCTTCAGTTTTTGAACCCTAGACTAGATTCAGAATGTACTGGCTTCCAGCCTAGGGCAGAGGGATTTTGCGTGCTTCTTCTGGCCCAGTTTTCTACATTCATGTGCAGGCATCTGTTACAAGGCAGGTCTGGAATTCTTGTAAAACAGGTTCCCTTTGTATTGTGTGCGGTGGAGGGGCCTTGACTTGCGAACCTGTCTGTGGGGTCCTTCAGGCATGCAGCATCGCGGATGCGAACTTGCGCACGATCAGAGAGAGATCCATGTTGCCGCAGGCACTCTGGAAAGATGAGAAGTTCCTTCGCCAATTGCTAGACTTAGCCGGAGACGATGCAAATCTGCGATGCTTGGACAGGAATGCCAATCTTGGTTTAAGCATGCCCCAAAACCCCAATCCCGAATGTGGCGGGTGGCAAAAACAATGTCTGGAATGATTTGTGGAAAACCTGTGAAACCTCGATTGTTCCCTGCGGAGTGGATGCTTTGGCGTGTGCAGTGCGGGTGGCATAACATCTTTGGAATGCTAGGCCCTGCTAGGTGGGACAGGAACTTCGAAACTCCTGGAATTGACGCAGCAGCGGCATTTTCGGCGACCTAAAGAAACCAACATGAAGAAGACAGTTGAAGGGGGGCCCGCAAACTTTCGAGGTTGATGGGCGGATAGTCAAATCTCGTAAGGCTTGGCTAACTTATCGTTGTTGCAGATGCAGAATGTGGACAGGCGAGGTTGGTGACCGGTTGGTGATCTGCCATCCCAGGACAAGCTGCCAAGCAGCAGATGTCAGAACTCGCGCAACCCGACCGGGACGCAATTGCTGCTGCGATGATGGTGACTCCACTTGCACCTACTGTGTCTTGTCGGAGGCTGCATGGGCTTGCTTGAAGCTTGCCTGTAAGACTCCTGTAAGGCTGTGCTGCAACAGGCCGGCAGTGCGGTGTTACAGTGCTGGATGCTTGCTGCTATGTTCGTTGAGTGCAGACACTGAATGCGCTGAAGGGCTTTCAGTCCAGCGGGGCCGCGCTTGCCTTGGAGATCCTCGCGCAAGTGACAGAGAAAAGCCCAGCTGTGCTTGCTGCAGCGAAGGCGGGGGTCGGAGTGGAGCGGAAGCAGTGTGGGCCCAGTTTCTGGGGCTGTGGCTCCATGGCTCCACCGGTGAGGAGAGGCTGAACGATGCGGATGCTGTTGTGCGAGCGGCTGCCGTATCTGCCGTTTCCTCGTTAGCCTAGCACTTGGCCGTTACAGCACACAAATGCCAGCAGCAGTCGTGACATGTGATATGTCGTGGGTGCTTTATTCTGCTTTATAAGGCAAGGAAAGACGACAGGGTCTGCAAGAGTGTGTCCTTGATGCACCATGATGCACCGCGATGCACCATGCGCCAGAACATTTTGCTTTTACGTGTCTTGTTTTTTTGGGGTGTGGGGTGGGGGGGGGGATGTTTGTTTTTTGGGGTGTTTTTCAGGGATGCTTTTTGAGCCTCAAGGACGCGGCTTGAGATCAGGCATGCTCAGGCCCTATAAGCCGACACCCCAGAGCCAGAGGCAAAGAAACGTCCTCCGTCCTGCATGAAAACAAAGCACCTTTTAAAGCACTAAAGCAGGATTCAAGAAGCATCGAAGCATCTTCCTTACATATGCTGCACACGCAGAGGGCTTTCGTGGGCTGTCCAGGCCCCGGCTGCTTTGCTCTGTGCTGACAGGTGCCAAGGGACCTCTTGCGGTGTCTTGAGGACGAGAGCCAGGCTGTGAGAAGTGCCGCTATCGATGCATTGCCGCAGCTTCATGCAGAGGCGCGCGGATCATGCTGGCATGCAACAATGTCTTCGATCCTGAAATCTTACACGACTCAGCCTCTAAATGCTTCCACCGCAGGGTCGGAGGAAGCTCGCGGCTCTGACACCGCGCCTGCAGGACTTTTGAGTTTGAGCCCTTGATTGCGTCTTTGTACTTGGACAAGAGAGAGTGACGGAGGGGAGGGAGGCGCAGAGGGTGCGACTGCGCCCTTCAAGCCCCGAAGAATAAGAAGAAGAAGAAGAAGAAGAAGAAGAAGAAGAAGAAGAAGAAGAAGAAGAAGAAGAAGAAGAAGAAGAAGAAGAAGAAGAAGAGCGAGAGAGAGAGAGTCGAGGCCCTGCGTTTTGGAAGGACGGAAGGAGTGGCGTCCTCTCTCACATGTTCGCGCATTGGGTCGTGTGCTGTTCTCTGAGTCCTGAGCCGCCGATGGAACAAGCCATGTTGATTTTCACGTTAATGATCAAAGGGCAAGTGATGTTGAACCAAGAACACATGCAGCAGGATGCAGATGCGAAACCCTGACAACCCCACCTGACATAGCGGTATTACTGCGAACGCTGACAAGATCTCCGGACTTCCCATGAGCGATGCCCGGGGTCCAGATGAGGATACCGAGCAGGACACCGCAGAGGTGTGGCCAGGCACAGGTTCCGCTTCGAGCTCCGGGCCTGCCTTGCCGAAACGCTCGCGCGAGAACAAGGCCGAGGCTGCCCTAGAGGCCCTTGCCTTGCGAGGGAGCTGCGTGAAGGATGGTGGCGTGGCCCACGCCATGCTCCTCGTTCCCATGCGCACAGAGCAAAGGCGGCTCCTACCAGTGAGGGGCCTCCCACAGCAGCTGGAGGCTCGGCTCCGGGCGGTCGTGAGGGCAACCTTTTGCCTGGCACCCCAACCCTGGCACGGTCACGCGCTGGAGCGGAGGATGATCCAACTTCAAGCCGACCGAAAATTGGCCTTGGCAACCGTTGAGCGGCGAGGGCTCGCATTGCAACATGTGCCGGCGGAGCTCAAGGACCGGGACCTGGTATTAACGGCTGTTCGTTCGCGGGCACGGGCTTTGGAGTTCGCACCACCGAGGCTGCAACAAGACAGAGAAGTCGTTCTGGCTGCATTGGCAGCGCCTGGAGGCCACAAGGCTCTGGCGTTTACTGCGTGCTTCAGTCAGGATGAGGAAATCCAGGTGGCTGTGCAGCGGACGCGTGAGAAGGTCGAAGAACGCCGGAGGCGAATGGATGAGGATCTTTGTGAGCAAGTGGGGGCCTTGAGGCCTAGCGGGCCTAGCGATCCCCCCTCTTCACATCAGCCTTTGGCCCAGATCCTTCCGGACGAGGTTCTCTGTTTGTTGCACTTGTGAGCAACAATGGCCATGTCCTTCGGGGCTCGGTCTCACAGGATCTCACAGTGCCTTGAACTCTTGGCAGGGGACGGGCAGCGACAAAAAATTGCGCGAAGCTGCACAGAGCCTGATGTTTCGGGATCTGGCATGCATGCCCAGCAACGCCCAAACCCCCAAGCACGGCCCAAACGTCTGGAGGACACCGACCCCGCAGTGAAAGCGGCAGCGCTTCGCTGCCTGCAGAAGCTGCAGGCCACCCAGGTCAAGGCCGCAGGGATCCCTTAGGCCGTCATTTTGGACTTGCCAAGACCAGGATTTGCAGTCAGGGTTTCACAACTTTCTGGCAGAATGCGTAAGGCTTCACCCTGCACAGACCCGGCAGGTAGATTCAAGGTACCGGAAGACAATTAGCAAAGCTTTAGCAGCACCTTGGCCAGCAAATGCGAATCGACCAGTCGCTGGAAGCCAGGCGGTCGACCATGCAGGATTTGGGGTCTCCCTTTGAAAGTCGTTTGCGATTCTGTGTGTGGCTTTGTCTGAGGACACACACCCCGATGTGCGGGAAGCTGCATGGTCACTGATTCCTCATTTGGACATGGGTGCTGCGCTCAGCACTTCGACACATTCCGCGAGATGATGTTGGCAGCTGTTGAAAAGCCCGTACTGGCGTAACGTGTCAAGGAGCGGGCAGGACGAAAGAGGGCTTCTGTCGGAAAAGCCCGAAAAGCCCTTATAGCATCAGAAGGCCACATGCCCGACTGTACCAGTGTGGGATTCCCAGGGCTACCAGCTTTTCTAGCCATAAACGGGAGAGTGGGGGAGGGGGCTAGTGATAGTGGTCGAACCTCGACCTTGCAGGGAGGACTTGGAGCGCGTAAGCCTTGAACACAAACACAGGAGTTGCTTCCCACATATCGACAGCAGGTGCCTGTGCCACTGTGCTCGCCGACCTCTCCTGGGTGCAGGGCCTGGACCGCCATATGTTTGTTTTTGCGGGTCTGGTGTGAGGTGTGAAGAAGGGAGTCAGCACGTGGCTCTTTTTCGAAGTTTAACAGTAGCTCTGGATGCCCGGCCGCCTTGAAGAACAAATTGAGCGAAGCTTTGGTGCACTACATTTGTATTTCGTACTGAGCACTCCTGTCATTCTGTTCCCTTCATTTCAACTTTAACTTTAACGATGATGAGGGTTGACGATTATCGCATCCCTTTCCTGCCTTCACAAAGTGCCCTGCCAACGTGTCAGTGGAACCGTGCTTTTTACTACTGGGTCGATGTGGTTTATTAGCCCGCAAGCCCAGAAGATAGCCCAGTCGCTGTGTGCCCTGCGGAATCAGCAAAATTCACATAGTTGGTGCTTACCAGGTTATAGTTCTGCAAGCTTCGTTTGGAACACGAAACGCGAGGGCACGCTAGCAATGAACATGTGAATATGTGACCGTTTTATATGCTGTATTTGATGCGCGATACGACTCGAAACGCCAAGGTGCACCTGCGAGGGCGTTGCAATCAGGGTTCAGAGTAGTAGTTAAGTCAGAAGTCCAGGGTGTTTAACAGGCCCCCGGCGTCTTTCAGACCCACAGCCATGTCGCACTCGTAGGTTCGAGTGCATGTTGGCCTTGCCAAGACAGGTCCGAGGCATCGTTCGCGGTATCGTTCGGGTATCGTTCTGACAACAATACAGACACCCCCATCCAAAGCCCATTTCTTCAGGTTACGTTTCAAATCGCAGTTCTGGAAAAATCGCTGTGCCCTGCGGGAAGGCTCTGCGAAACAGGCGTTTTTTCAGCGTCTCAAGCTAGACTCACGTGGCTATCACCGAGAGGTAGCTTCGAAAAGAAGTTCACGGGTGGATTCATGGCAGCGGTACTGTTTTATCGCTGTGCCCTGCGGGAAGACTCCGCAAAACATGCGTTTTTTTATAGGTACATCCTAGTCTTAAGATGCTATCCCCAAGAGGTAGAGAGTTTTTCCTATCATTATCGCATGATTTTCGACTTGTGTGCCCTCGGGATTTCGGTTCTGGGCTATCTTCTTGACATGTTGGGCTACCTTCTGTGCCATGGGGTTGGGCTATCTACAAGGTGATTGGGCCAAGAAACCACGCTCGCTCGTAGCAGAGAAGCATCATAGCCACCGCTTATTCTGGAAGGGCTGCGTAGTCTGATCTCGTCCCTCATACTTTCTAATTGTTTTTGGATTCGACTCCGTTTCCTATGACAACGATTTTTTTCTGATACAATGTAGCAGTGTCATGTTGTTTCCTGATAATGGCTTCTCTGATGTTAAGAGGCAGATCAAATACATGAGTGAAGGCCCAGTTGCTTCGGGAATCGTGCAAGTTACTTGCACGATACTGTTCCGAATTTCATTTTAGGTTCTTGTGGCACTATCTTTAGGGTTTTTTCCTAATGGTGCCACTCACCGTGGTCTGCAGCACAGCCCCCCTGGGCCCACTACCTGAATACCTGAAAGTTCAGGTTTTTGGGGTTTTGTTTGGTTTCACGGCACCAATTAACAGACATTTAAGCGCAATGGGGGGCAAATAGTCTTGACAAATAAGGCGCGAATAGGCTGAGCTACCCCCCCCCACGCTCTACAAATAAGACGCGGATAGGTCACAATTAGTTCACTCTCTGTGTGGCAGTGCCTGTTTTCTTTGCGCTGAGACCCCTGCGCCTAATGTTACGCTATTTGCGTTTTGACGGCTGGGTTTCTGGGGGGGGGGGGCTTGGACTCCTATGAAAGTATAGTCATCGCAGAAGCTGTTTGCCTTGCAGCATGTGTTCAGCTACGCGGGAGGCAAAAACAAGTAATCCAAGTGATAAGCAAACACAGTAAGTTACGGTTTACGCACGCCTCTCGCTTAGCCCGCAAGTAGCCCCGATGGTTTTAGCTGTTTTCCTTTTCTTTGTTGCGGAGGACGCTGCGACCCGGAGTCGTTTGGTCAAATCCCTGCGCTCGCTGCTGGAGCCCATCGGGGCCGATCGGCTCACCGCTCCCCAGCCTGCACACAAGCACAAGCTGGCTGAAAGGAGGCGTGGAAGGTCTCACACATGTCACACTTACACTCGTGTAGGGTTCGGGGGCCACAAGTCCAGGCGCTTCGCCCGGCTAGACAGGAAAGTCTCCAAAGAGCTCCAGAACCCGAGGCAATCACTGCCGCGGTCGGTATCTCTAACTGGTGGCTGCGTCTGGCGATGACTGAATTTCTCCATTCCTACCTGGAAGCGGCGAGCCCGCAGGCTCGGGGTTGAGGTCAGTGGTTAGAGGGTTTATGTTCAAGGTTGAGGGTTTTCATTTGCAGCGTTTCATTCATGAGTACCGTAAGCTACTGAGCTCGAAGCAGGTACTGGTCAAGTCCTGCTGCACACAAAAGGTTTAGGGATCGTACCCCGCTGCGGACCACAGACCTGGATGCACACAAAGTATTTGGATCCAATTTAGCGCGCATGGCAGTGTAGAGGACATGTGCAAATGGGTCTTCCCTGCCTTTTGGCTTCGCAAAACATCCACCAACCAGGGTTGCAACAATGCTCAATGAAGCCACATTGGTGGAGGCTGGACTACACTGCAAGCCCCGAACTTCAAAATTTCTGTTTCGCAGAAGCTAGTTCATAACATTCGGCGGGCACTCTTGGGTCTCACATGCAACCAACCACACATGGGAGGTAAGGCTAGCAGCTGTGAATGCCGTGCGCCAGCTTGCTGACAAGATGGACGTCAAGGCCGGCATGCGTGGAAGCTTTCCAAGCCCGACATAGTCCCAACATCAAACCCGTGCCATTGTCGAACCTTAAGCCTTGGCCCAGAAGCCGAAGCCTGGCTCTGCCTAGGCGACTGCTGCACTTGCGGCCCGGATCGAGGCCTGTCCTGGGTTCGCTATGGTTTCAGGTCTACTGGATGTTCTGGGCGGACTCTGGTCAAGCGCTGAACTTGATGGTTTGGGCCGCTGCAAAAGCTTGAGTTTCAGGTTTAGGCTCGAGCGCTGTGTTGCTTGTGTCAGCACAGCTGAATTAACAAGTACCATCACAATCGAAAAGCTTCAGTTCGCTGTCAGCACCTCAGGTGGTCGTAATTACTGTTGTGGGTCCTTTGGCAGGTCCCTACCACTGCGTAAGACAGCGCAGTGATTAAAAACTCGGAGCTGAAGTTCAAGCCACAGCCTGCCTTGGGTTTCTCCCAGAGAGTCAAAAAACACTTGGACGAGGACGGCGATGCAGCAGTCGCGGCTGCAGCCTGGGAGGTTGTCACTGAGCGCTTGAACGAGCGCAGCGCCGACGCTGCTCGGGCAGATGAGTTTTGATTGAGGGCCCAGCAGGTGGCTTGCACGGAAGGGCATCACAAGCGACGTACTTTGAAGTTGAGACTTTGAGTGTTCGAAGACGTTCGAGCTCGAAAGTTTGAAAGACTTCAGACTCTGAAAGTTTTCAAGTTCGAATATGTCGAGTTTGCACTTTGAAAATACATGAGGGGAGGTCTCTTTCACTCTTCAAACTTTCAAAGTTTCGAACTCTGAAATGTTTCAAACTTCCGAACGATCGAACACTCAACTTCGATTGCCTCCGTTCAAACTCAATCTCCAATTCTTTGCGATACCGACTTTGAAAAATATCAAGCTTTGAAAGAATCCGGCTCGATGGAGTTTCGAGATTGAGAGTTCGAGAGTTTGACGCATCTCGAGCTCGAAAGCGACAGTTTGAAAGTTTCGAGTTCGGTAGGGCGACCACGACGCTGCGAGTTTGAATGTTGGAAAAGATCCGGAGTTTGAGAGTTTGAAGTTCGAAGCCCGTTCGAGTTTGAAAAGTTTGAATATTCCACGGGTGCAAAGTTTGAGAGGACGATAGTTTGACGGCCGTTCGAGTTTGCGAGTTCGAGAGTTTGAAGCAAGACGAGTTTGAAAGTTTGACAGCTTCGAGTTCGAGAGTTTCCCGAGTTTGAATGTTTGGAGCACGCGAAATCCTGAGCCCGTTTATCAACCCCAAGCCCGTGTATTCAAGCAACCGCCCTGGACAAACCCTGTACCCCATTTCCTGCCTCCCCTTACTACCTCTCTCTTACCCCTACTCGAAGAATGAAACACAAGAAACCAAAACAAGAAACGAGGGGACGGGGGTGGAATTTAGAATAATTCTCTCGACCATCACTTCTCCTATTCGAAGAATGAAGCACGTGTGACAGGCAGTCGATGTGGTCTGAACGTGCTGTGAAACTCTCAAACTTTCAAACTCGATGCGTTCAAACTTTCAACGTGCAAATCGCGAGATTTATCAAAGTATCAAACTTTTCTTCGTGTTCGAGTGTCGTCAAACTTCAAAGTTTCAGGCTTCGAACTTTCAAACTCGTATTGTTTTCAAACTTCAAGCTCCGAACCGTGTGGATGCGTCAAACTCTCAATCTCTCGTACGTTCAAACTCTCAAGCTCCGAAACTCTCAAACTCCAGAGGCGCTCAAACTCCGACCCCGAGCCCCCTGAAACTTTCGAACTCGTGGCCCGGTCTTGCCGTGTTTGCCTTGAGTTCGGGGATTCGGCTTCAAACTTTTTAACTCGCTCTCGCTTCAAACCTTCGAGCTCGAAACTCTTTCAACCTTTCAAACTTCAAACTTTCGACCTCCGTGTCGTTCATCGTGTCCATTCTTCAAACTTTGAAACTTTCAAACTCCAAAGTTTCAATGGCCATTCATCCCTTCAAACGTTCAAAGTTTGAAAAGAATACTCGTGACACCTATCGCTTACACGCACGTGCGCGAACCCAGCAACGGTAAGCTGAGGTTTGAAGATCTTTGATTGAGTTGGAGGGCTTCAGCTGGTTGGTGGCTGCGTAAAGTGTGCTCCAAGACATGAAGATTTGCAGGAGAGACAAGAGACGTGAGATTGCAAAGGTGAGGCGCATTGCTGTGGAATCCCTGGCCACCCATGCATGCCACCCGAAGGTGGGGTGCAACTGCAAGGCCTTGATTAAGGGTTGCGGCCAAGGCAGTTAATGAGAAATCTGCTTCCGGCAGCGAGGGTCCTGACATGTCTCAATCACCCACTTAGGAACGAGAAGTTGTGAAATGAACGAGACTGACCCTCTAAACACTCCAAAGAATTCCCTGCCCTAGGCCCCCTTTGTATCAACATATAATATATATATATATACACATCTGCTACGCTATACCTCTAGAAACACGTTTGATACATGCTTAGCTGACGTCTCAACGGTACACCTGTGCAAACTGAGGAGGGGGAGAAAGAGACTGACAGAGACAGAGACCCTAATCTTGCTGGTCGTCCCAGGGTTGAATTGAGGTTTAGGGTGGAGGTTTGTTGCCCTTTTTTGGCCTTTCTCTTTGTGCAGCTGCACTGCAGTTGGGCCGATGTCGGGCCCTAGTGAACTCGATGTTCTCGCAGCTCAGTAGCACAAATTCTTGCACCTGAGCTCTACCTCCTGCCCCTTTCCCCCTAAGCCTTGGTGGTGGCCTAATTAGGTACTTTACTTGAAAAGGCCTGGGTCCGGCCATGTCCCATCTCCGGAAGTGGTCTCCAGTACCCCAAAGCGCGATGAGAAACGATACTTCCCTCAAAGCGGGTGTTGAGATTGGACACTTTGTGTCTCTTGAAGCCTGGCCTGCGATTGGGAGCGACGGAAGCCCGCAAGTCGCAGGTGGCAAAGCAAAGCTGACAGTGCAGCCTGCCAGGTGGCATAGAAGAATCTTGCACTCCCTGAAGGCTCTGGCTGCATTGCAGGACAAGCTCCGGGACAGCCACTCGACCAGAGAGCCAGAACATTGGGTGATCACAGTTCCAATGATATGGCAGATCTGTGCATCGGTGTACAAGGAGAATTGTCAAGAAGGTGTAAGCAAAGATCATTTCATGGACACACAGGCGAGCAAATGGGATTAACGTAAACGAAACTGTAATGAACATCGACTGCATCGACTGCGAGGTGTGGGATCTAGGTTTCCTGCTGCGACGAAGCGGCCTGATACCTTCACAAGTGAAGTCGGGCCCAAAACCCAAACCAGTGGGGACAGGTAGCTGGCTCGTCCAGACAGCTGCTGCTCAAGCACTCGAGCTGGCCATGCCTGGCCAGGCTTTCTTGCATGCTTCAGGATGCTTCAGGACGCTTCAGGACGCTTCAGGATGCTTCAGGATGCTTCAGGAATAGTTCGATGGGTTGCTGTGGAGAGAGGGAAAGACCGAGAGAGGGGACGCACTCTGGGGGCGCGCCTTGTGCGCGGGGGGGGAGGGGGGGAGGGGGGGGGGGGGGGGG